CATATCCTCAAATATTTACATCACTGTGCTTAGTCCAAACTACGCTTCTCTATGCTTGTTTATAAAAGTTGTCCATTTATCCTCAATTTTGCATATGTCATGGTTTTGTAGTCAGTTTCTGTTGAATGAGACATATTCTCAACTTCTTACAGCTTGATAGGACTGAAGATCCCAATCCAATGGTACCAGAAAACAAAAATGTAGATCCTACAGTGCCAAAAGATTCTGAAGGTCTTATTGACGTTGACCTTTGTGCTCCCGATTCCTATTTTACACAGGGTAATCATTAACTATACACATGTTTCATATTCTGTAGTTCCACTGTTATTGCCCCAGCTTGTGGCTTCAAGTATTGGTAATTGATCATCATCATCTTAAATGCAGATAAGACTTCTGATTCTGCTCCAGCTTTCCAGGATAGAAGTGCATCGAATGTGGTCATTTCTGAAGGATTGCTGACAGAATCACATCGAGAAGAAGAAACAGCCACCTCTATATCAAATGCAAGTTCTGAAATGAGTGAGTTTGATTCAGTTGGTCAAGAAATGGCCAAGTCAATGATGACATTTCTTCTTCCGCAAGCTATTCCTCTGCTCAAGAAGGGCTCAAGGAAGGAAAAGGGTACTGTGAGCCCTTCTGAAATTCTGCCTGGTGCTCCATCCCCTGGTGCTTTATTGAACCTTATGAGTTCTACACTTTGCCTTTCAGCAGTTGGTTGATTATTCTCTTCTTTACAATTGTAGGTGTAATGCTTGCTGTAAATAACGATCGAATGGAGGAAAAGGTGTACACCCAAAATAATGATTTTGGTTCAATTGTTCCAACGAAGTCTTTTGTTCCTGACAGTTTAGAGGATGATCAATACGGTGACCATGTAGTCAACCGCGTGATATCTTCCTCTGATAAGGCTGAAGCTGGTCAAGATAGTTCTTACCCTGCATGCCTTCTCAACAGTCATGGGCTTCTTGTTGCTGTTAATGAGCATAACAAATCATTAGATGATCATCTTGGGACCATTGGAACCAAAGATATTTTTCCTTATAAGGAAGTGGGCATGGCTTCTACTGGGGGGCTTCAGGAATGTGACACCAACTTATCTGAGTCTCTTCCAGTATGTATGTCTCCTAGTAAAAGAGTCTTTTCTGAAGAAATCAGGGATAAATCTGTTAATAAGGATGAATGCTCACTAGGTGTTAATATCCATTCTATGAAAAGCCATGAAACTGCAGTTGATCTTCCTGAAGGTAATTTGTTAATACCAATTGTTTTGGTAAATTTGTTGCTTCGTACTCAAATGCTGGAATATGTCTATCTAACATACCCATTTTCAGTATAGTTGGTGATGACGTGCCTCCTACTTGTGCCTTTAAGTAGATAATATGACATGATAATTTAGCTCCTTTGTCTTGTGAGTTGTGACAATGTGTTTGACGTTTTTTTTACTAAATAGTACTGTTACTCTTTCATTTCTCAAATTAACCCTTTTTCTTGAGTTATGATCAGGTTATGAACAGTTTTAGGGATCTGAACTCCGTGGCCTTTTTTTTTTCCCCCCGAAAATCTATGTGTTCTGATTCTTATGAAATTTTAACTAACTCAAGTATTGATTCTGATTATTCAGCCATAAATATAATTGATGACAACCAAAGAGGCATGTTGAATTCTTCAAAGGCATCACAGAATGAAAATGCTGTTAAGACAACTGTTGCAGAAACTGGAAATGAGCCCTCCACTCAAGTTCCACCCTTGGTATATACCAAGAGAAAAGCTCAAAATATATGTCCTATTAAAGGAAATCACAGTGGTCTACTCTCAGAAAGTATAATATGCAGAAACAGTGGAGATATTTGTTTGCCTGAATCATACCCTTCCTCAGAGACTTTGCTTGCGTTGGAGACTCTTCAGATGGGTTCTTCTGATGACAATTCAAATAAAGATTCATTCTGTGCTGAAGCCAAGATTGTGGGACATTCCCGTTGTTCGAATGCAGACAAACCTTCTGTGAATTCTAAAGGTCTCTTAAACGGTCATTGTCCTGCTGTAATACAAGAGCAAGCATTGGTTGGTGCCTCCAAAGAAAAAGATACTTTGTGCTCTCTTGATTTGTCTGTTTCACGTTTAGAAAACCATGTTGACAAGGATGTGGTTGGGCATGAGAACCTCCTTGAGCTAAACAACACTGAAACATCTCAGAAACAGGGGAGGGGTCTCACGCATAATCCCAATAGTGTTCCGCATAGTTCAGACTCGAAGCCTCATAGTGTGGAACTTAATAACGAACAAACAGGCAGTCTTGAGTTCGTGGGATGTTACTCCCATCAAAATCCCGTTTTGTCAGTATTGTTGAGTACAAAAGGGACTGAAATTTACGTTTGTGTTTTATGTGGCCTTCTGGTTGATAAGGACGGAAGCCTATTCATCTATAAGGTAGCAATTGAGGAACCAAGGGTTGGATCCCCTTCTTTTGTTGGTCACACATCAGTAACATTGCCGATTCGAAAAGACTATTTTGGTAGAGTAAGTTCTTGTATGCATTTGGCTCGGTAGGCTTGTCTGGTTTATTGTTAATTTTTTTGACATTTGTGTTGCTCTTTGCTAGATTGCTTTGGAAAGATCCAGTTTGCAATTCACCCCGGACGGGCAATATCTAGTTTTACTTGACAGCATTAAAACACCTTACTGCAGGTTAACTATCTTTGCAGATTTTACAAAGTAATGACATGAATTAGGAGTAAAGTTATTAGTAAGAATTTCATTTGAATGTTCTCAGGCAGGGGAGTATCCATTGTTTGTGCTCCACATGTACGTCAAACTGCTCGGAGGAGAATACAGTAAAGATTGTGCAAGTAAAACTTGGCTACGTTTCAAAGGTGGCAAGTTTGAAAGCAGTAGACAGTTTAGAATGCATGTTGGTTTGTGCACCTAACAATCTTGTTGCTGTTGGAGAAAGTGGGAGACTGCATCTGTGGGTTATGAATTCAACATGGAGGTAATCTAAAGCCTTTCTCTCAACACCTCTGATACAAGTGCAGGTGTCAAAGTTTTAAAGTGTTGATTTTCAATTACAAGGGGAATACTTGTCCACAAGTCCGCGTATTGGGTTGTTCCCCACCCCCCCCCACCCCTCTCACCGTGTTACTTTTTTCATGTTTATCGACAATCATTCGCTAATTTGAGCAGTTTCCATACCTTTCTATTCTTTGTATTGAACGCAGTTTAATTGGGCTTTAAATTCCTTGTCTGCAGTGCGCAAATAGAGAATTTTGTTCTGCCAGCTGAAGATTGCGTCTCCCCTGGAATAGTGGAGTTGAAGAGAATTCCAAATTGTACCCATATAGTTGTTGGACATAATGGTTTTGGTGAATTCAGTTTATGGTATGTCTTTCTTAAACTACTCGGGAAGTGAATTTGGATGATTTCATTTTGTGTAAATTTGATTAGTACTAATAGGCAGCGGTTTTTTCTTTCAGGGATATTTCTAAACGCATCCTCGTGTCGAGGTTCTCTGCAGCAAGCGCTTCAATCTGTCAATTCATTCCTGTCAGTTTGTTTACTTGGCAAATAAAATGCCTTGTTTCAAGCTACTCTGATATAGAAGAACACATCAATGAATTGGTGGCTGCCACATCCAATGACCAATTTTCTTTGGAGGGGGAAGACATTGCTGTCTGGCTTCTTGTCTCATCATCTTCTGATTCTGATGCTCAACAAGACTATGTATCAGATGATTGTGACTCGAATCCAGTGGGGAGGTGGAGGCTTGCTCTAATGGTGAAAAATATGGTGATCTTCGGAAGTGCATTGGATCCAAGGTGCGTTGCGTTGACTTGTTCATGTGCTGGAATTTAATTCTTCAAATCTAAACTTTTTGGGGCAGTGAACTTCATGAAATTGGAATCATTCATGTTATATGTAGTAAAACCATTTTTTGGTGGCAAACTCCTGGAAATTAAGTTGTTGCAACTACAAGCAAAATATCATACACGGAATTTTAGGAATGAAGTTGCTTCATTTTCATTTGTAATTAGTCTAATGAATGACTGCGAATTCATCTGTTTATTGACTTTCGAACTTGCTGAGCAGCGCTGCTGTGATTGGTGCATCAGCGGGTCAAGGCATCTGTGGTACTTGTGATGGGCTTGTGTATATGTGGGAATTGTCTACAGGAAACAAATTTGGCGCTCTGCATCATTTCAAAGGTATGCATCAATGATTATTATCTTAACAATGTTAGAAGTAGAACCAGTTATAAGACAATTCCAGAAGCAGCACTACATTTGCTTCGCTTCTTTGCTGTTAAACTGATGGTTTTTTTACATAACGTTTTGATGGTTTCAGGTGGCAGTGTTTCCTGTATTGCTACCGATGATTCGAGGCCGAGGCCAGGCGCTGTGGCCGTAGCTGGGGATAATCAGTTGCTGGTTTTCCTGCACTCTGAAAAGTCGTCTGTACTCTAACAAGCAAACAAGTCATTCTTCTCTCTCATGCCTTTGAATTGGGATATACTGTAGATACTGATCTTACATTTTGATGCACAGAAAGAAAGTAGTGCAGATGTATATTGTTTTTGCTGTGGACTGTCAAGTAGCATCTCATATGCTTTAGCTAGACCTCCTCTTGCACCCAAGTTCGAATCCCCTTCCTCAGTATGGCTTGTATATAAAATAAAAAAAACTTATCTTGTGAATTCTCTCAACTTTTCTTTTTCATATTTTCTCCAATCTTATTTGATGAGGTCAAAATTCAATATAAGCAAACGGTCATTCAATTTCACGATTAAGCATGAGGTAAAATAAATATATAAAAAAACAATACCTTCGTCTTCCATTTTATTTTGGTTGTGGGCTTCGGATTCGCTAATCCATTAACGCAGCTTGGGCTTGTGTGATTTACAAGACTCATAAAATTGACTGAAGTGCCCTTGCACGCACATCCCACGTGACTTCTCCGTCTACAAATTCGACGGAAAGTCGATTTTGTCCTCCAATTGCAAACAAACAGGAGTGTCAAAGACTAACTCCACTTTCTTCGTGGAGTCGAACCCAATTCCTCCGTTTCTCAATTCTCACTTACTATTTTTCTGCGTTTGCTGAGCATCTCTCTGAAACTGTAGGCTCTCTCTCTGGGTTTCAACAGCAATGGCAGGAGCTTTGGTCGACGTCAAGCCTACGCCGATCCTGAAGGAGGAGCTTGACATCGTGATCCCGACGATTCGAAACCTGGACTTCTTGGAGATGTGGAGGCCGTTCTTCGAGCCCTATCACCTGATCATAGTCCAGGACGGTGACCCGTCGAGGACCATCAAGGTCCCAGATGGCTTCGACTATGAGCTCTACAATCGAAACGACATCAACCGTATTCTGGGTCCCAAGGCCTCTTGCATTTCCTTCAAGGACTCTGCTTGCCGCTGCTTTGGCTACTTGGTCTCTAAGAAGAAGTACATCTTTACCATTGACGACGATTGCTTTGTAAGCTTCCTCTCTCTCTCTCTCTCTCTCTCTCTCTCTCTGATTGCTTGGACTTATTGAAAGTTTTGGGTTCAATTGCTCGGATCTTGAAGTTTTTTAGTATATGGGGTTCTGGGTTAATAATGTAGGTTTGTTGTTTTGTTTTAACACTTTTGTCAATTTTTGGGTTTTGGGTGATGAAACCATAATGGGTTATTTATTTATTTATTGGGATTGACATTTGCATCATTTAATAATCTGATGTTAAGCATATTGTCTTTGATCTGGGTTTTGTCTTATTTCAATACAAGTGTCTGATATATATATATTGTTCTGAATATTATATGTGATTCTTCTTCTTGTTATTGAAATTTTCATAATCTCATATGTTTTCATATCTGTATCCTTTATGCAGGTTGCCAAAGACCCATCTGGGAAAGAGATCAATGCACTCGAACAACATATAAAAAACCTGCTAAATCCGTCAACTCCTCTATTTTTCAACACTCTTTATGATCCATACAGAGAAGGCGCAGACTTTGTCCGTGGATATCCTTTTAGTCTCCGTGAGGGTGTCCCTACCGCTGTTTCTCATGGCCTCTGGCTCAACATCCCTGACTATGATGCTCCCACCCAGCTTGCCAAACCTCTAGAAAGGAACACCAGGTATAAAATAGTGATCCCAAATTACACAAATTACTGATTGTATGCTTCTTTTTCCCTGTCTTCTCATTTTAAACTGGACTAATTACTACTGACAAGCCTCTTTTTACCTAATTGCCTGTTCATTTCTTCTTAAATGTTTTCAGGTTTGTTGATGCAGTTCTGACCATACCCAAGGGAACTCTATTTCCTATGTGTGGTATGAACTTGGCATTCAACCGTGAACTGATTGGACCAGCAATGTACTTTGGACTCATGGGTGATGGTCAGCCAATTGGAAGATATGATGATATGTGGGCTGGCTGGTGTATGAAGGTAATTGAATTGCTTCTTTGTTATTCACCCAGTTTATGTTTACTGAGATTTTGTTAGGTCTATTCTATATGAAATAAGCAACTCTTCCTTGGTGGTTTTATTTTTATTTTTATATATTTAAATTTCTTTTTCGAGGTGTCCCCGTAGGGATGTTTGGATCATAACATTGAATTCGGAAGTTGTTTCTAGGATCATATCAACTTGAGGTTTTGATTATTAAGATTATTTGGCAGGATATGCCAACATCCCAGTCATAACTTACAGACTTTGATAGTTTCTCTAGTTTGTGATGATTACCTTGTAACTTTCTTGATGATTTCTGTATTTGGATTTATTGATTGTCAATTTACTTTGAACATTTATCATGAGGACGAAACTTAAATCACATCGATATGCCTGTAGGTTATATGCGACCATTTGGGATATGGTGTCAAGACTGGTCTGCCCTACATATGGCACAGCAAAGCCAGCAATCCATTTGTTAACCTCAAAAAGGAGTACAATGGTATATTCTGGCAAGAAGAGCTGATCCCCTTCTTCCAATCTGCGGTCCTTACAAAAGAATGCACCACTGTTCAGCAGTGCTACATCGAACTCTCTAAGCTAGTCAAGGCTAAGCTTGGCAAGATTGACCCATACTTCCTTAAGCTGGCAGATGCCATGGTTACTTGGGTAGAAGCTTGGGATGAACTTAACGGAAAAGTAGATGTTGATCAACAGTAATTTGCCTTAGATGGCTTCAGATTTGCTAGTTGTTTAGTGTTTTGATTGATTATCATTATTATAATATCATTTACAAATTTTGATATTTCCCTTGGGATGAAGAAGGGTGAGAGGGCAGATTTGCGTATTGATTGAGATGGTTGTGGTGTTACCTATCTTAATATTCTGATACTGGTTGCATTTGGATTCAAACATACTAAGTTTGAAATTTGAATTGAAGATGGTTGACATGGAACCTAATTGTGTCTCACGACTAAAAAGTTAAGCAGGAAAAGCATTTTAGCTGATTATGGGTTGCATAGAATATGGGTTGATTTACTCTCTAATTGTCACTTAATAAGAACTCTATCTACGATTTATTTTCTAATAAATCTTTAATTACATAGTTATAATATATATATATATATATATATACAGTCCCATTCTATTGAGGGATCCCTCAAATAATTTTATTTGAGGGACGTCCTTTAGAATACCATACAATCTTTTTCCCAATGATCCAAACCATCTATTTTTTAGGTCTTCATTCCTAGATCATCCTTACAAAAAATTAGACAAATCTGAAACCGTTTCGACATCCAATTGTGTTTTACAAAATCAATGAACACGGTGCTTCAAGAAAGTACTAAAATTTCAATAACTCAATTGAGTGGTCAAATGATATCGGATTCAAGTGATTTTTTGTAGAGATGATCTTTGAATGAGTATCTACAAAATAGACGGTTTGGATTAGTGAAATACAATCTAGAGTGAGGCCTACAAGGGGTGTCCCTCAAATAAACTTATTTGAGGGATCCCTCAATGGAAACTCTCTGTATATCAGTCCCATTTTATTGAGGGATCCCTCAAATAATTTTATTTGAGGGACGTCCTTTAGGATACCATACAATTTTTTTCCCAATGATCCAAACCATCTATTTTTTAGGTCTTCATTCCTAGATCATCCTTACAAAAAATTAGACAAATCTGAAACCGTTTCGACATCCAATTGTGTTTTACAAAATCAATGAACACGGTGCTTCAATGGAAGCTCTCTGTATATATATATATATATATATATATATATATATATAAAAGCAATGCAAAATACATAGAATGGTGAAACATTCAAACTGCCAAAAAATGTCATTGGTTAATGCAAACATTAAACATTAAAATTATTAATTAAATAAAGATAATATGATAAATTTATATATATTTTTCATATTAAAAACTTTTAAATAAAACACAAAATCAGATAATAGGTCCTATTTTTATGGAATATAACTACCCATTTATTTTTTTAAAATTTTTTATATATTTTTTATGAACTAATAGTTGTTGCATTTGGATTGAAGTATACTGATACTGAGATTGAAATTCTAATTGAAGATGGTTGGGATGAATTTTTTTTTTGGAGTTTCACTAAAACACCCAAAATGGAGGTTGAAATTATAAAAAAACCCAACACCCAAAACACTTTATAAACACACCCAAAAAGTTGACTTTGGGGTTAATTTTGGGTGTATTTCTATGTTTAAATAGTGCTTGAGTTTTTTTATAAATACATGTCTAGGATTGGGTTTATTTATAAATTTGTATTTTTTTTTTTAAAAGTTATAATTTATGGAAGAGCTTGTAGCACAAATGATTAAGAGAATTTATCCGTGCACTTGATATCCTAAGGTCGATTCCCCATCATCCCCCATAACAATATACCAAGCATTAAATCTTTTTTTTTTTCCCCTTCGGGTAAGAAAAAAACTATATAATTATGGGTTGGTTTGTCTGTTGTACAGAGTTGGGCCTTGTTTTTGGCCCACCCTACTAAAACAGTAACAACTAACAAACAACTTCCTCCGCACGCAAGTCTTATCTTTGGTTGCTTTCTTTCTCTTTCCTTGACTATAAGCAATTGGGTTTTGACAGAAGTTATAGCCCAACCACGATTCAACAAAAGGAAACAGAGAAAATCAGGAAAAGAGAGAGAATATCTGGTAGTCGTACCCAAGGCCGAAGAGTGAAGACCAAGAAGGCAAGAATCTCTGAACTTTGTTGACCAAACCCGCAACCATGCCGACTTTGACGAAGCTCTTTACAATGCAAGAAGTCTCCCAGCAAAACAGCAAAGACAACTGCTGGGTCGTCATTGATGGCAAGGTACCCTTTTCTCTGTTTATAATCCTATCTGATATCTTCATGGGCATTGAGCGAGTATTTTGTTTGTATCAATTGAACGCAAGAACCTCACCTTCCTTAGTTCTTCTTCGTGGGTATGCTTGATTACTTTATTTTCAGATCTGTATTGCCTCTCTATCGTTGATTGTATTGTATTTTCGGCTCTGTAGCTAATGTTATATGATAAGGCGTAGCAAGTTTGGGTAGTTTGTATTCAGGAGGTTCAAGCTCTTGCAAGATGTTATCGTTCACTATGTTTTTAGGACATGGGAGGTCAAGGAGTGAGACTTGGGAATATTACCTGGAAAACCCATAATCTATTCCATTGAAAGATTACTATTTACTACAATTTGTGCCACATTAGAATATGCTCTACTTTCTTCCAATTCCTGCGCGTTTCTCTTTTCTTGGTGAAGTTTCCTCCTAAAGTTAATATTGATTTTCATCTACTTATGTAATTTGGGTAGATTGTCATCAGGGTTGTTGTGGTTTTTCTATATTGCAGTTTCCTAACAGCTTTCATGAACTTATTTAGATTGTAGATGAAAAGTGCTCATACTATAAGCATATAGATTATTACGCTTGTTGTGTTCTGTTAATGATGTAACTTTCTTTTGTGCTTTGGTATTTATAAATTCCCATGTGGCTTCTCTCTGTGAATTTGCTCAGTATCTTGGTGTCTTTGCTCTCTTAACTACCCAAATTTTGGAATATATGCAGATCCTCAGAATGAGGATAGCCAATCTATGTCAGAGGTTTTCTTCTCATCCAAATAATGTCTTGATTTCCCGATGTGAAATCCGTCTTCAAGTGATCTGTTTGATTGTGTATATAAGGAGTTTTGACTTTAATTTTTCTTCACTTGTTTGATTTCTCTGTTTTATTTTGCTTTTGAGAACTAGAACTTGTCAGACCTTATCGTCCGTTCATGGTTGCACACCATACAAGAAAAAGAAAATTGAAATCTCTCTCCTCCCATATTTACATGTAGTTCATTTGTTAATCCCAGGTGTACGATTTGACACGATACTTAGACCATCACCCTGGTGGAGACGATGTAGTCCTTGCTGCAGCTGGTATAGTTTTAAGCTTCCTTTTTGGATAATATTCTCGTTTATTTGACTGCGCCATCAAGAATTTGTTTCAGATAGTCATCTAAAACAACAATGTAGATACAAATACAGAACCTTGATATGACTTGTTGATTTAATTTCATTTTAGGAAGAGATGCCACAGAAGATTTTGAAGATGCTGGGCATAGCAATGTTGCAAAGGAGATCATGGGAGCCTTTTGCATTGGAGAGCTTGATGTTGATACCACTTCCCCAGAGATAACCTCCAAGAATCAGCCAGTTGATTATCCTCAGAAGATGAAGGACTTGACAAAGCAATACTGGGCTGTTCCTGTGGCCGTGGTTGGCATCTCTGTGGTTGTTGGCTTCTTGTACTTGCGCAAGAAGTGATTCAATACAATTTTGCCCTTTGTTCCACTCAAAAGGAAGCCCTCACAATTTTGAATAAGTAGGAGAATAGCAACTGAGAAAACTAGCCCATTATTTGTTTTAAAATTTCACTAGTATTGGGGAGAATATGCATATTATGATTTAGAGATTTATGTACGGATTTCGAATATGACATCTACAAATTTTAAGGAGATGTATGTCATTGCAATTGTTCCTTGTTGGGAATCAATTGTCTGACTTAATAATGCAGAAAGTTAAAGAAATTCATGGGAATATTGCTAAGTTTGGTTTTTATTATCCTGCTGAGAAGAGGGAGAGAAGCCCAAGCTTTGATAATGGTCCTACAATTTTCTGGGTGGCTACAAGTACTTAATTTTCTAACACACCCAATAGCACAACATTTTGCAAGATAATAACTTTTCTAAACGCACCCAAGAATTGAGTTCGACACCCAATACCTTTTTTTTTCTTTCGCGAATGGGATGATGAGTAAGGGAGTAAGGAGTTTGTAACTCAAATAGTTAAACTTAAAAACAGTTATCTTTACAATCGAGATCTTCGAATCCAGAATCCGCCTCTCCGAATTTCGCTAAGTATAAAAAAAATAAAAAATAATAAAAAAGGGCTGGGCGAGGAGGTGAATGAGTCAATACTGCACGCGGCGTTCGTACCATTTGGGGACTTCAAGGACGTGAAGACACCGCTGGACCAAGCCAGGCAGAAGCACCACGCTTTTTATTTTGGTTGTGGGCTGGCCCAGTTCTGATTCGCTAATCCATTAACCTAGCTTGGGCTTATGTGATTTACAAGACTATGAAATTGACTGAGTTGCCCTTGCACGCGCAACCAACGTGATATTTCCGTCAACCAATTTGACTGAAAGTCGATTTTATCCTCCAATTGCAATTTGCAACGGATATAAATACAGTCAAAGAGTCAAAGACAAGAACCCAATTCCTCCGTTTCTCAGTTCTCAGTACCACTGTAAGGTTCTCTCTGCATTTTGAGCAGCAATGGCAGGAGCTTTGATCAATGTCAATCCTACGCCGATCTTGAAGGACGAGCTGGATATTGTGATCCCGACGATTCGAAACCTGGACCTCTTGGAGATGTGGAGGCCGTACTTCGAGCCCTACCACCTGATCATGGTCCAGGACGGTGACCCGTCGAGGACCATCAAGGTCCCAGATGGCTTCGACTGTGAGCCCTACAATTGGAACGACATCACCGCATTCTGGATCTCAAAGCCTCTTGCATTTCCTTCGAGGACTCTGCTTGCCGTTGCTTTTGCTACTTGGTCTCTAAGAAGAAGTACATCTTTACCATTGACGACGATTGCTTTGTAAGCTCCCTCTCTTTCTCTATCTGTGTGATTTCTTGGACTTGTTGAATGTTTTGGGTTCAATCGGTCCTATCTTGAAGTTTTTTAGGATATGGAGTTCTGGGTTAATAATGGGTTTGTTGTTAACACTTGTCAATTTTTGGGTTTTGGGTGATAAAACTGTGAGGGATTTTTTTATTGGGATTGTTGTATTTGGAGCATATAATCATCTGTTGTTTAGCATATTGTGTTTGATCTGGGTTTTGTCTTATATCAAAACAAGTGTCTGATATATATGTTGTTAAGAATATTATATGTGATTCTTCTTGTTATTATTGAAATTTTCATAATCTCATATGTGTTCACATCTGTATCCTTTATGCAGGTTGCCAAAGACCCATCTGGGAAAGAGATCAATGCACTCGAACAATGTATAAAGAATCTGCTAAATCCATCAACTCCTCTATTATTCAACACTGTTTATGATCCATACAGAGAAAATGCAGACTTATTCCGTGGATATCCTTTTAGTTTCCGTGGGGGTGTACCTACAGCTGTTTCTAATGGCCTCTGGCTCAACATCCCTGACTATGATGCTCTACCCAGCTTGCCAATCCTCTAGAAAGGAACACTAGGTATAAAATAGTGATCCCAAATTACACAAATTACTGATTGTATGCTTCTTTTTCCCTTTTCTTTTCCTTTTAAGCTGGACTAATTACTACTGAAAAGCCAGTTTTTACATAATTGCCTGTTCATTTCTTCTTGAATTTTTTCAGGTCTGTTGATGTAGTTCTGACCATACCTGGGGGAACTCTATTTCCTATGTGTGGTATGAACTTGGCATTCAACCGTGAACTGATTGGACCAGCAATGCACTTTGGACTCATGGGTATTCGTGAGCCAATTGGAAGATATGGTGGCTTGTGCATGAAGGTAATTTGAATTGCTTCATTTTTATTCCCTGTTTATGTCTACTTACTGAGCGCTTGTTAAGTCTATATTCTAAATGAAATAAACAACTCTTCCTTGGTGATTTTCTGTTTTTTATATTTTCTTTTTCTAGGTGGATTTATCACCAAGGTGTCTCCATAGAGATGTTTGGATCATAAGATTGAATTAGAAAGTTGTTTCTAGGGTCTCATCAACTTGGGGTTTTGATTATTAAGATAAATTGGCAGGATATGCCAACATCCTTGCCATAAGTTACAGACTTTGAGATGATAACCTCAGAAATATAGTTTCTCTAGTTTGTGATGATTACCTTCTACTTTCTTGATGGTTTCTGTATTTGGATTTATTGATTGTCAATTTACTTTGAACATTTTGATCATGATGAGGACGAAACTTAAATCATGTCAATATGCTTTTAGGTTATATGCGACCATTTGGGATATGGTGTCAAGACTGGCCTGCCCTACATATGGCACAGCAAAGCCAGTGATCCCATCATTGCATTTGTTAACCTCAGAGAGGAGTACTATGGTATCTTCTGGCAAGAAGAGCTGATCCCCTTCTTCCAATCTGCAGTCCGTACAAAAGCATGCACTGCTGTTCAGAAATGCTACATTGAACTTTCAAAGCAAGTCAAGGCTGAGCTTGGCAGGATTGACCCATACTTCCTTAAGCTGGCAGATGCCATGGTTACTTGGGTAGGAGCTTGGGATGAGCTTAACGGAAAAGTATGTGCCCCAGTAAAGTAGATGTTGATCAACAGTTATTTGCCCAGATTTGCTACTTGTTTAGTGTTTTGACTGATTATCTTTATTATATTTCATTTACAAATTTTGATCTTTTCCCTTTAGATTTGCTTGTTTATTGAGTTGGTTGCAGTGCTACCTATCCTAATATTCTGATAGTTGCGTTTGGATTGAAACATACTGAAGATGTTGAAGATGCTGGGCATAGCAATACTGCGAGGGAGCTCATGGAAACCTTTTGCACTGGAGAGCTTGACACCACTTCCTCAGCTATCACGGAACTTGAGATAACCTCTAAGAATCAAGCAGTTGATTATCCAAAGAAAGATCAAGGACTTGACGAAGCAATACTGGGCTGTTCCTGTGGCCGTTGTTGCCATCTCTGTGGTTGTTGGCTTCTTGTACTTGCGCAAGAAGTGATTCAATACAATTTTGCCCATTTGTTACCACTCAAAAGGAAAGTCCTCACAATTTTGAATAAGTGGGACAATAGCCGCTGAGGAAACTAGCCCATTATTGTTTAAAAAAATTCACAAGTATTGGGGAGAGAATATGCATATTATTTTGATTGATAGATTTATGTGCGGATTTCAAATATGACATTTACAAATTTTTAGTAGATGTATGTCATTGAAATTGGTGGGAATCTTTTTAATTTTTTAATTTTTTTAATTTTTGGGTCTCCATTGTCTTGTTGAATAATGCAGAAAGTTAAAGAGATTCATGGGATTTTTTAAGTTGGGGTTTTAATATCCCGGAAAGGCTATAATGAGGAATTTAGAGTGAGAAGCTTCTTTGAGGCATTCAATCATACCATCAACAAATGTGAGAAAATTAATAGACTTAAATGTTTTTAATGATTTGATGGTGGAATTGAAATAAGCTCCTTACTCTAAATTCCTCATTCTAGAAAGGAAGAGAAGCCCAAGCTTTGATAATGATTATTCTTGCAAGACTTTGATAATAGCTTTAAGAATAATAAGGGGTTTGTAGTTCAAATAGTTAAAAACAGTTATTCTCACATCGAAGATCTTCGAATACGGAATCCGCCTCCCTTAATATTGCTATGTATTAAAAAAGAATGGGCTTACAATTTTTTTTTAATAATAATAAAAGTAATGGGCCAGTGCGGTTTTCCTGGTCCTAGTCGAATAGGGAGAGTCTAATAAAAGACTATTTAAGGATTTTAAAAAAAAAAGTCTAATGAATTTAAGCAAAATGCTCATATTTAATGAGTATTTCAAACCTTTATTTAATACTAACTATTTTTTATTTTATTTTTTAATAGAGATGGTCCAATCAAAAAAAAGTTATTATATTCATGACTCTCTAAATTAGGGAGTATGGTTGGAGTTGAAATTTTTTAGAGAGCTCCTAAAATAGCTTTCTTATATTTTTAGCTAAATTTTAGCTGAGAAATAGATAACATCATTGTGGATGCTCTTATAGAATTTTATTTATGAATTTCAATAATCAAGAATTTTTAATTATGAATTTAAAAAAATTATATCATAGAATTTATAAAATTTGAATGAACCAAATGGATTTTTTCATATTAAAAAAAAAGGACCAAATGGAATTTCCACATTTTCCCTAATTAGCTCTCATTATTTTGCAAGATTTATAGGGGTCTGATTGCAACCTTCAATATGTAGCTTCTCTCCGTTCAAACAAAGATACCATAGTACTCCTCTCTGTGATCGAGTTTGGTATTTATACTTCCTAATAAAAAATCCCATATATAAGACTTTTTGTTACTTGATTGAATATCACTAGAAAACAATTTATATTATTTAAAATTCTTAATTAAATACAACCCCTGTAAGCTCTCTCTCATATAGACGCATAGAGGCCCAACTGGAAATCGAAAAGAGGCAGAAGGAACAAGAAGGAAGAGGGAGAGAGGTGAATCTAAAATCTGAAATTGCAGAGGTTTGAGAATGGCGCAGCAAGCAGTGCAGAAGAACACGCTGTATGTAGGAGGGTTGGCGGAGGAGGTGAACGAGTCGATTCTGCACGCGGCATTCATACCCTTTGGGGACATCAAGGACGTGAAGACGCCGCTGGACCAAGCCACACAGAAGCACCGGTCTTTTGGCTTCGTCACATTCTTGGAGAGAGAGGATGCATCCTCCGCCATGGACAATATGGACGGCGCCGAGCTCTACGGCCGCGTCCTCACCGTCAATTATGCCCTCCCTGAGAAAATCAAGGGTGGTGAACAGGGTTGGGCCGCTCAGCCCAGTACGTCCTTTTTCCTTTTACTCCTCCTCCTCCTCTCTTTACATTATTATTGTTATTATAAAAAAATTTCTTATTTATTTTGTGTATGCGTTTGTAGATTTGATTGTTGCTTGATTTGTTTAGATGGGTTTGGTTGATTGATTAATTGGGGTGTTTGATTTCTTAGTCTTGTTGTGAATTTTGGTTAGGGTTTGTGATTGATGCTCTGTTGGGTTTGGTTGTTCTTGTTATTAAGTGGGTATGGGTTTGCTTGTTCTTGTTTACTACTTTTGGGGTTTAGGGTTTTAGGATTCAGTTTGGGTATGATGCAGTCAAATAGTCTTAGGTGTTTCTCCTTAGAGTCGTTGATAAGCTCTGGGAATTTCCTACTATTATTGGTTATGGTTAGTAAAGGAAATTTGTACGTTAATGTGCTAGAAGTAACTTCCGTTGAAGTTATGAAAATTAGGCAACAACAGAAGAATGCAACCCTTAAGTGTATATAGTTGAGGTTGATAGAAAAAGATAGATAAGGTTGAATTAGAAACAGTTGAATAACATCTTTGAGCAAAAGTTCACTTGATCTTGCACTGAACTAGAATTACTTAAAATCCTTCATTCTTTGAAGGTAAGCTGCATTTGCATTCAAGCTTGAAATTTAATGATGGATGCTTAATAACTTCTGTTCTTGTTCTATTACAGTCTGGGCAGATGCAGACACATGGTTTGAGAGGCAGCAACAAGAAGAGGAAATGCAGCGTATGCAGGCCGAGAACCGGGCTGCCATGCAGGCTGCGGAAGAGTTACACAGGAAAAAGAAGACAGAGGAGCGAGAGGGGGAAAAAGAAGAGGAAATCGAGATGAAGGATGACCCCATGGCAAGGGCTGAAGCAGAGGTTTTGAAACAGAATGACTAGTTCCACTGCTCCCAAGTGAAAATTAGGAGAGAAAAATGTGTTTGTTTCCATCAAATCCTTGTAATTTGTCAAGCTCTCTTGTAAAACTTTGCTAACGAAACAAATACCAGATTCTTAATTTCTTATAGATGATAGATTGTCCTTTTTTTTTCTTTTTGGGTAAAACCGTTGAAAGGTTTTTAGTTTGTGTGAGGTGTTTGTTTTTCATGGTTTCCGTGTGTTTATTATGTGTGTTAGTAGAAGAGGATTTAAGTTAAATACAGTTCCTTAAATCAACTGCGATCCAACGTTAAACAGATATTCAGACATGGAAGCAATAGGACAAGTTGGAGAACAAAATCGTCCAAAGGTGCCTCAAGCCTAATTATTAGGAACGATGCGGCGCCGTTTGGCGTTCTTACCTGCACGCCCTACGCACGTGCAAAGTTCTCATCCTGTTTACCTATTTCCTCTCCCGCTAATCTCTTTGGAGTTGTTTACTGACAGTGAAGACACTTCCAAGTTTGCAACCCTTCAAACCCGCACACTTATCACTTCTCTCATGGCTTAATACTAGCAACACCCAATAGTTGGAAATTGGAATTACTTGGGCAACGAAGAAGTTGAGCTCTTGGTAGCTCTGTCGATGGCATCTCTTTCTTTCACTCACTTTCTCCTCTTACCCAGGTTCTCTTTCTCTCTCTCTATCTCTCTGATGAAAATCCAGTCTTTTCATTTAAAACCATGTGGTTCCTTTGCTCCTTAATTCAAATGGATATCCCAACTGAGCAGAAATGAAAAAATGAGAAACCTTTTCTGGGTTTGGATAATTGTAGAGTTTTCTCGATGGATTTTAAGATAAAAGCCATGAAAAAACTTGAATTTTCTTAAACCTCTAAAACCCTACAATTATTAATTGCACTTCATAGTCTTGGTCAAAGATTTTTTTTTTTCTTCTTACACTTCCTTCAGCTCAATTACCAAATGAATGGTAATGGTTGTGATAGTCAACTTGTTTATTAAAATTTGCAGGTGCCATTTGGATTGGCCCAGTAGCCCCTCACTGAACTTTGTGCAGCTTCAGGGTCTTAGATTACATAGTAAAAAGCGGGGCCTTGCTGCTGTCCCTAAAAAGATAAACTCAGAGAACTCAGCTGTGGAGGCATCCAATGAAGATGAGGTTGTTGTGAAGAAAAAGACATCTAGGACTCCCAAACGAACTCGAAAGAAAACAATAGCCGAAACAGATGCTTCAAGTGAGGAAAGCATTATTTCTGCATCTAGTGAAGATACCAAGAAACCGCGTGGAAGAACTCGTAGGAAAGGTAGTCCTCCTTATTGCTCTTTTAGGTCTTGTTACTTAAAAATCTGTCTTGTATGTGCTAAACCTGCAATTTAATTTATCTAGCTGCATCTGCGTCTACAAGCACGGAGGAAGAACAAACCGAGAAGAAGGTACGGAGGAGAAAAACTAAGAAGAAAGATGATGTTGAGGAGCAGGTTAGTGAAGCTGAACTTAGTGAGCCTGAGGAGTTTACGTTCATTGTGGATATGAAGGATGAGAATACAGAAGACATAGAATTGGAAATAGATGAGGGAGAGGATATTAGCTATACTTATGATTGGCCTCCTCTTGTTTGTTGCTTTGGGGCTGCACAACATGCTTTTGTGCCCTCAGGAAGGCCAGCCAACAGACTTATAGATTATGAAATACATGAAAGAAAGAAAGACGCATTATGGGCTCCTGAAAAATTTATTAGGTCTCCTGGGGGATCTGCAGGCAGTGTTGCAATTGCTCTTGCAAGCTTGGGTGGCAAGGTTGCTTTCATGGGAAAACTTGGGGATGATGAATATGGTCAGGCCATGCTATATTATATGAATGTCAACAATGTTCAAACTCGTTCTGTTCGAGTTGATAGTAAAAGGGCAACTGCAGTATCACAGATGAAGATTGGTAAAAGGGCTCGCTTGAGATTGACTTGTGTCAAACCCTGTGCCGAGGATTCTTTATCAAAGTCAGACATCAACATTGATGTGCTAAAGGAGGTAAAAGCTTTCAGTCCCAGTTAATCAGTTTGTTTTGATTTAATCATAATTGAATTTAAAAACAAAACCCATTAGACATGATCTAAATTTATTTCACTGAGTGTGTAAACATTAGATTCATTATTTACTTCTATGATTAGAGAAGTCATGGATAGCTTTTAACAACCTATGGTGCAGGCAAAGATGTTTTACTTCAGCACGCATTCTATGCTTGATCAAAATATGAGATCAACTACACTGCAAGCAATCAAGCTTTCAAAGAAATTAGGAGGAGTTATTTTCTATGATGTAAACCTTCCATTACCGCTATGGCATTCTTGCGAAGAAACAAAGTTGTTCATACAGCAAGTGTGGAACCTTGCTGATATTATTGAGGTTACCAAGCAAGAGCTTGAGTTTATTTGTGGGATCCAGCCCTCTGAGGAATTTGACACCAAAAATAATGACAGATCAAAATTTGTCCATCATACACCAGAAGTGGTTGCACCGCTTTGGCATGAAAATCTTAATGTTTTGTTTGTGACAAATGGGACTTCTAAGATTCACTACTACACAAAGGAGCACCATGGTGCTATTAATGGGATGGAGGATCCCCCTATTACTCCTTTCACTTCTGATATGTCAGCATCTGGAGATGGCATTGTGGCGGGTAAACTCTTGTGATCTGCATATCTATTGATTTTTTATTTTTTCTAATGATTATATCTACTAGTGCTTTCACCATGAGAGTAGGGCCTGCTTGGCCCTGCATTTGGGTGACAACTGCCAGAACTCCTAAATAAGAACCATTTATTGTGCCTCTAGTGCTTAGGAGAAGCCTGTAGTGGTCCATTATAGTTATTCTCTTTCTGGGGATAGTGGTGGCTCAGTCAAGAAATGTAGATACAAGCCTCTAGTCCCTGGCAGGCTTATTCTTTAAATAAGTGCTGTTTTGTAAGATTTAGATTCCAGCTATTGGTTTAGGGCAAGTCCTGTTAAGTTTCCGTTGCACACGGTAATTGAACTAAAGAACCTGTCGTTTTCTCTTCTTAGTGGATAGCATTATGCAGAAATTCATTGATGCCTATGATCATATTCTTGTCATTAAGATATAGCATCACTTCTATAATCTTAAATGTATATCTCCCAATTTTATGAGTTCCTAGTGTTTAAAGAAGGCACTAATTATATCATTTTAGACAAATTTCCGGTTTTCCTAAGTGCTTTTTTTTTCGTGACTTCTTTTCAGCTCTCATGAGAATGTTGACAGTTCAACCACATCTTATTACTGATAAAGAATATTTGGAGCACACAATCAAGTATGCAATTGATTGCGGGGTCATAGATCAATGGTTGCTCGGGCGAGAACGCGGCTTCCCTCCTAAAGAGGATACGGAAGAAGTGGTTCCTGATCCAGATGGTATAAGATCTCTAACAGAAATGGAATATCGCACACTAGAGAGTGTAAGTTAAAATCCAGGTTGTGTTTGCAGTTTCCATTGATAAATAGAATTTTATTGTGTTGTTTGTAGACCTCAAGATTACACAGGGCCAAAAGGTTTACTTTTCTTGTAGAGTGAACTAATGTAGTCATGTAGCATTTATAATTAAAACTGTCCAGGCCCTTTTCAATGGCTTTTTTTTTTTAATTTTTTTTTTTTTTAAAGTCACAGAAGTGAAATATTTTATGGAGACTGGGAACATTTTATATCATCCTAATCTTATCCAAGTAGAGTATGCATTCCACACGCTTCCCTATGTCACTTTATTCAGAAAAAGATTGGAGATGTTAAGTAGTTTTCATTAATTAATTATGTGTAGTTGAGGGGTAGGTGGAGAAGAGTAGGGTTTAGCAGCTTTGTATTATCATAAAACAAATGAAAATAAAAGAATTACGCAGGATTCTTTATATAAACCAAACCAGCTCAAGTCATGCTAAAAACTGAACCAACAGTGTGAGGGATTTTATATAAACCAGATTGGTTTTTGATGAGGGGGACAGATCAATATTCCATCCAGAGATTATCATTTCGTAAGACAAACAATTAGGACAAACTCAGAAGTTGCGGTAACCCACTCGTATACCCAATTTTGCTAGACTGACCCAACAGTCCTCAAGAAAAAAGAAACCAAATTATGACAACTTTCAAGTTTTTTTTTTTTAAAATAAACAAAATATAATATAATATCAGAAAAACCTTTGATCTTGTCTAATTCCCCTCTGAGATGTTCAAGATCTTGTGTTTAAGAGCTCAAGAGCAAATAAAGAACAATATAATCATCATTTGGGTGGGGCCTTCGCTTTTTAATTAATATAAATAATGCCCTCAATGGTCCATTTGTATGGAGATATTGACCAAAATTTGAGAACCGAAAGAAGAGAAAATTACAGAGCACCAGGGGGCCAAAAAACAAGACCTTTGCTGAATATCCGTAGGCTACTCTTCAAAATGTCCATGGGTTGGTTTACCAATGAGAACATCATCCATCGACCTTGAGCCATTCCTATAAGCAAATAGAACCAGAAATGGCTTTTGCATTAAGACCCCAACTTTATTGACCTCTTCTTACAAAAGGATAGTAATCACACTTCTCCAAACCCCACTAAACTAGAGAGGAAGGCAAGGCAAAATGGGGAGATTAGCCCAAAAGCTTGAACAAAAGGTGGCTAACGAAAACGAAATAGAATCACAGGTGTTGAATCCCTCCACTACATACAAACATACACTTGGACATGATGAGATTTCGACCCTATGCAGAAAATTGGGAACCCTCAAGTTTTGAGGCAGCTGCCTTGTCCAAAAACCACACCAACTTCCCTTTCAGTGGCTGGGCAACCCCTGCCGGCACTGATGGGGAGTCAGATCCCACGTCATCGACTGCCAGGTGCACAGCCTCTGCTTTGCTGTCACCGGTTGCGACTATAGCTACATTGGATGCTGAGTTGATGACGGGCAAAGTGAATGTGATTCGCTCAGGTGGAGGCTTGGGGGAATCAGTTATAAAAGTTACCCATTCATCTTTCTCCTCAAGCGCCGAGTGGTTAGGGAATAGCGAGGCAACATGGCCATCAGGCCCCATTCCCAGGAGGATGAGATCAAATTTGGGGCAGTCACTTATATCAGACACGCTGATCACACGAGATTTCACCAACTGACGAATGACAAACTCATAATCATCAGCAGCCTCCTCTGCTGACACTGTGTCATTAATAGAATGCACATGACTGGGAATTATAGGTACCTGCAAACATGATATGAAAATGAACATCAGCATAAAGATGGACGACCAAAATTTACCAAAATCAAAATAAACACTGCAATGATCTAGCCACCATTCACAACTAAAAGCTTTTCAATGAAAGAAAAAGGCAAACTTCATAACTTTTCAGTTCCAATATACTAATACACGATCCGCAGAAGATTGTAATAAGTTTGAGTCCATCTGTTCTCTAATAATAAAGGATATTATGTGCACAAAACTAGCAATATAGTCCTGATGGCTTTCAGCAATCAGCTAAAATGCACATCAGTATGCAGATGATGGCCACAGAATAATAAAAAGGGGTGCAACTTATATAGCTTGATTAACTATAACATGATACTAGATTAACTACTTACTGTATGTAATATATTCCATATTAGAAAATGCAAGCCAACAAACCGCCTCTATTACAGACTTCCTAGTGAAATTCAACTAGAGAAGTTTGTATTAAAAATATAGAGGTGATTCCTCTTCCCTACCTTAAGTGAGAGATAAAATGAGTAATCCCACTTAAAACAGCAAGATTCATTAATGACAATGGTAGAACGCATCACATCATGACTAAAGTAAGGCAAAATGATATAAATTGTCCTACGGTTCAGAAGTTGCACTCTATCAACAGTAGCGCCTCTGCACCATCAAAACTCTTTGCAAAAGGCTTTCCTTTTACAATCTTTCAAGCTTCTCTACTAATTCAGCCTAGATACTGAACAAATAATCTTATTTTCATCATATATCATTTCCTTAGATTGGGATCATTAGACGGTAGCGATCCAGTTCAAGGTGAGGAAAAGTCACCCAAGATGGCTTTGTCTTGGGCAACAAAGACTAATGCAGTGGTAACAAGCTTCAAGCTCGAAACATCAAGAGCATGAGAAGAAAGGTGAAAGATCTATCACGATATGTCCTAAATGGGCAGAAGGGTGAAAAAGAAATCTGCATTCAACCCCAAGTAAAGCACAGTTAAAGCTATTTAGGATCAGTTAAATACATACGTTTCAAGCCTTTAAAAACAGATAAACATCCATCTTACCGAACAGTTCCATTAAGAGGAAGGTTACTGTAGTAGCTATGAAATAGATTGGTGTTTAAGATGCAATAAATGACCAGACAAACTTGAATAGCTGCACCAGAAGATGGCTGCAATACATGGCGTAGTTCCAATAGTGATATGGAGATTTAGTGAAACTACAGAAATCAGCAACAGATAGAGAGTCTCGTTATACAAGAAACTTGACTGGATAAGTTTGATAAGCAGTTTAGATACAGTTCACAATTGTTGGGTACCACATCACAGCGCAGCTCATCAGTGTGTGAGGAGTTGACACACATAAAGTAGCATAATTGAGCAAACAGAACGGACCCAAATAAGGATGGAATGTGAACAGGGTTAGAGAGTAAAGTAGGAAAAACTGATTCAAGGTTCATCCCATCATTTGGTTTTTTGAAGGAGAGAGATTGGAAATAAGAAAGCATCAAGTTGAAAGCAAGGTTCTTTCCTTCGACTCAGTTACTTCAAGATCAAAATACAGCCTACAATAGGCTGGGAAAGTAAAAAGGACAGAAGAATAGCCATACAAACCTTAGACAAAAGGCGATCCTTTGCAAGCTTGTAATTGCTATCAGCATGGTTTTTTGCCACAACACGCTCGTCAGCCCAAAATATATACCATTTGGCCCAGTCTACAGTCTTGTTATAAGGAGCTTCGCAGAGTTTCCTGTTTTTCCACCAAAAATTACACATTAACACAAAAAAACATAAAACAGAGAAACCAGATGTGGAAAGGAAAGCATGGATACCCCATTAAGCCAATGAGAGAACCACCAGATAAAGCAATTGCAAAGACACCCCGCTCCTTCACTGATGCCTCTGATAGTTCAGCAATGTAGTCTGCCAAATCAGTGCTAAGCTCATCCAAACTTTCATGAACTCTCAACTCTCTATCTTTGTGACCTCCGGAAAGAGCCATGCTTCCAACAAGTTTAACAGCACTATTCCGACGAGAAAAGGATCAAAATTTAGACAGAATAAAAAGAATAAACGCAATGTTACCTTTAAGTTTTTAGCCAAAAAGGAAGATCAGGCAAAACTATATAACAACCATCTGGGCAACAGAAAGTTTTCAATTATTGGTCAGAAGAGTAAACATGATATAGCCGTCCACTTGCAGCTCATGGGCATTGAATTACCTTAGGGGATTAAAAATCTTTACCATTTACAGTCCACAAAATTCATAATTCAGATGAATTTCATATAACATCAGGGCTCATCATACATAATTACTAAAAAACAATCACTGTGCGCTTGGAGTCTTAATTGAGTTCAACACTGCGATAAAACCAAAGTGTATGATGATCGTAATCTGAAGATCAAAGGGAACAAACCCATAAAGCTACTAAATTTATGAATTTCACAGCAAAAGCAGGTATACCCAGATCACAAAAAAATAAAAAACTCACATCCCATTACAGCAAGCAACTTAGAAAACACAAAGATTATTAACATAAAAGAAATACATAATGCCATGCAATCTAAGATTACTGAAACTGCAACAAACAGCAGTGCAAGGCATAATAAGAACAAGAAAAGAAGAAACAGATGCTTACAGAGAAGAAAAGGAAGAAAAAAAAGAAGAAGGAGGAGGAGGAAGAAAGAGAGAGGTGGTGGCAGAGAAGTAAGAAACTGACGAAGGTGGAAGATGGGTATCAACACGAAATTATAATATAATATATTTATAGTATCATCACATTACAACTCTAAAATCCATTTACTGATTATAATAAAAACTTCACTAGAAGTTGAAAAGGAATTTACCTTCTGGGCTTCCACGTGCATCCAATGATCGTGACAAAACGCACATACAAATACAACTCTCTCTTCAAAGTAAACGGATAAAATCCGATAGAAAGAAGATGAAAATCCAAAAAGTAAAAAACACCCGATTCTCTCTCTCGATTCCTATTCTTTTACAGAGGAACAGAAAATCCATGTATCCTAGATTCTCTGCTTAATGAAGGGAAGAGACACAAGCAAAAACAAAAGTGAATAATAAATAGATAAAAGTCATTTTGTTTTTGTTTTTTGTTTTTTTTTGTTTTTTTAATGCATAGTCAATTTGAGTTGATATTCCAAAAAATATTAATAATAATTAAATAAATGTACCTCTAGTAATTTTGTCATTTAAGGCTCAAAGCCAAAAACAGAACATTTTCCAACATATCCATTTTGGTTATGGGATTTTATTTCTCTCTGCCAATATTTCCAACCTTACATTTTACTCTATGGTAATGGCAGTGCCTTAAATACCAAACTATCTTTAGCTTTTAAATATATTGCTAAAATTACTTTAAATAATATTTAACATTTCTTACATGATAAGTTAGGAAGATTGTTCCCATAAATATTGAATTTTCCTATCATATGGATTTAAGGAAGAAAAAAAAAACAAGTGATTGTACTTTCATTGTAACTTAAAAAAAAGGTGGGTGTAAATGTTTTTCTTTCTTTCTTGTGTTTCATACATTTTTGTTATCTACCAACTAAGTATTGACTTGGTGGTATTTCTCTTCTCAGAATTGAAAGAGGGTCAAATCTCCTACAAGCCAATAATAAAACAAACCAAAAATTATTTCCTTCCTGATTTATTTTCGTTTGCTTTGCACATGCTTTTTAAATTTCTTTTTCTTTGTCTCTTCAAAAGCAGCTATTTGTTCACTATTATGTGTCTTACCCTCTACCCATCACCTCCTTGTTCCCACATATTGATCATCCACCAACAGGGGGTGGTTTGTACTTGAGAATACAAGTGAGCAATTTTCTATGGGTGGGCTTTAACAAGTGCAATGAACTTTTTCTTTATCTCACTCCTCATTTCCTTGATTTGCTGCGATTCAAGCACATCAATCACACCAATTGATCAACTAATTGAAAGAACCATCTAAGATCACTGGAATTCAAGCACTTTAATTTGTTACTCCATCTTTTACTTGAAAGTGGTCATGGCATTTCATCTCAGGGGGAAAAAAGCTTTCTTGTAACGGAGATGACACTATTTCGCTATTCTCAGCTAATAACACAATGACACGTGAAAAATTATCTCATATATCATTGTGTTATTAGCCGGAGATAGCAAAAAGTGGTATTCCCGTTGCATGACAGTTTCTGTCATTGGGGGCTTTCCTTAATCATATAAACCAGCTTTATGTCAGCTTTCATGGTGTTCATATTGAAAATATTATGTCAGCCATCATTTTCTCCAACCTCCACCACCACAATTTTCACAAGTAAGTAAATACACCATATAAATAAATAAAATGATGATGAAACACATCAAGAGTAGTTTGGAATCTCATGCTATCAAAATCAGAAAAAGTGGCAGAAGAAGTTGTTCAAGTAAAAAGTATAAAAGCCTCTAACAACAAATCAAAGCCCCTACCATCATGACAAATCAAGACTTCCTCCCTCCCTCCCTCCTACCCCAGTTTCAAGAATCTTTAGCATTACAAAAGCCTGACACACACTGATGGGGTCTTCTAACATTGTTTACTCCTTTCGGGGAGAAGCAAGCGCCATGAACCATGGCTTGGCTGACATCTTCACTTCACTCTGTTGCTTATAACTTTTGACTGTTTGACAAAGAAACAAACACCTCTCATAATGCTGCTCCCAAATGCCACTTAGTTTCTTCTGAGAGCAACTCCTCAACTTTTACCACTTTTATTATAAAATGAAGGCATAATTTTTTTCCTTTCTGTAATGACACTGCAATTTACTGTTTCTCCAAGTTGATCTAGTCTTTTTTTTAATGGTCTTATGTATGTGCTCTTTAGCTTCATTCTTTAATGGAAATTTCGTCATCCTTAATGAGAGCTCATTAGACTTCCTTCATTTTGCACCTCTCCTTGACAATTATTGAACCATTGAAAAGGATGGGCGATGAAATTGACCATACAACCATTATTTCATTTCATTTCTTTTTCTTTTACCACTTGTATTAGTTTTCTACAAGTCATAACTTCTCTGCAATAACATTGCATGTAATCAGTTATTACAAATCATCTATGTGTTCAATGGATTGGTGGTCCTAACTAATGCTCCATATTGAGGGCAATTAGCTTTTCTAGACCGTTATTTTTGACTAAACATAGTTTCATAAAAGCTCAAAGTTTCAGGACAGTGGCGGTCCTAATCGATCCCATCAGATTTTCAACTGGAAAGCATAGCATGCAAATCTCGCAACCCTACCCCCACAAAACTTGGAGTACAAAATGAAGTACTTTTCTTTTTATGCAGATGCATTATTGAATGACAATCTGAGGCTTCCCTTCCAAAATCATCTCCTAATTGTTTCTTCTCATGGTATACTTTTCCATCAACATTTCAGCCAACGGTTTTCAAGTTCACAAGGAACTAAGAAGCTGTTTTCCATTTTGTCAAAAAGCCAACAAAGTAGTAGTCAATGTGGTTACGGCTGAAAGCAACAACATTAACACAAACTCACTTGAAATTGGCCGTTGAAATGATTGATGAGATGCCTTATATGGGGAAAATTAAGATAAATGAGTAACGTGTGGGGAATGTAACTTCACCAAATTTTGCTCTTCCCACCTTTCAAAGTAAACTTTCATATCGCAAATTGGTATCTTTGATTATTTTACACCAATAGTAATATAAGTCATTGAATTTGAACAAAGTCTAGCAACTTGTGTGAATCAGGCGGTGTATAACAAATGCGTACTAAAATATTCTAACTTGGATTTGCTCCAATTCAAATGCATTCTAAATTTATTGTCATTGCCTCCATGCATGTCCTAGTTTCTTATAGGTTGTAGGATACTGAAAAATAAGGTAAAGTTATAGCTGGATATCCAATCAATCTCAATTTAGACCCTTTCTCAATTGGCTGGTCATACAATCAACCAACATCTATGACATTAATTGTTTGATTATGTTTGTTTGTTTGGTCTTAGGACCCATCAACCTGAAAATAAGTAGATTGCCAATCTCAGTGTTGAGCTGAAAAGGCATTTGGTGTATTGTTAAACTTAGACAGACTTTTAGTTTAAGGATTCTTCTTCCATTTGGTTCATTTGTTTCAGTCTTGAGGCCTACCAAATACTAATTAAAAAGTGGGACAATGAACCAATAATGTTATCTACTTTTGACATAACAGGCCATGAAGTACAGTTCGGTTTCTTTTCTTCTGCATTATGTACAGTAGAGTCTAATCTGTGATTAAGATCCATGGTCTTTTATCTCTCTAGTTTTTTGGTGGGTTCTTGTTGCTCATCAATTATATAGCAAAAATATATTTCCAAAAGTAATAATATTTCCCCCACATATTGGAAGATTTTCAACTTGGGGATCAGTATAGCTTGGTTTCAGGTTGAATGGCCGTGCTTCTTTGGCTGTTTCAATACATTAAAATTTTCCCACATGCTAGATCGTGTTAACAAACTTTGAACTTCGATGTTTGTACATATATGCATCTAAGAAAAAGAAAGGATATTGCTCGTCTCCTTTTCTAAAAGAAGATACGTGTGTGTATGCAAAAATAATCCACCAAAAACGTAAATTTAAGAATAAAATAAAAACTATTATTTATTGGCATGAATCTACGAGTTCCTATTTACATGGACGATGGATGAGAGAAATACTCTCCAAAAGAAAAGGGACCCTTTATGAACAGGCCCCTGCAGCCAAATGGGTTGAGAGAGAGACTTTTGAGGAACCTAATCAGCAATTTGTCAATAAGTGAGAGAGAGAGGAGTCCATATCAGATGATGTAAGAATGGAGAAGGAAACCCACTTGTTTGTTTTTGTGGTCCACTGATCTATTATGAGCCTACCCTATTGCTTGGGGGCCTCCCAAAATGGACATATGCTCCTTTTCAATTGACGTACAATTTTTTTGCCCTATGTAAATCTACTCATATCAATCTTTCATCATTTTATGGCATATATTCCGTCTCTTTCCATCTGCAATCACCAAGACTGTGACCTTGGGATTGTAGGTTTTCAATTGGGTTCTTCTTTGTTCGATCACGGATCAAAATCCCTCATTTCTGAGGGTGTCAGTGGGACTTATTTTTCTTGGCCTAGAATTGAACAGAATTGAAATCCAACCAAAGTGCTGAGGATAGAGAGCAACCGAAAACCGACAAGCAACCACCTCCCACAGGCCCACGAGGACAAAGAGTAGCCATCCCACTCACAATAATAGCTCATAACTCCCTTTTATTCAAGTCATTGCTGTCAATTTTAGCTGTTTAATTCTCTCATTTCCTTTGTTGTTTTTCTTCATCTGCTTTATGAAAACAGTGACCTTTTTTTCTCTTCCAAAATTCCCATAGATTCTCTTCAAATAGATCCAGTTGCTGAAATGAAATTCTCTCTCACTTTTTCTTAACCTTGAAAAAATATTGCACGATTGGTTCTGCATCTTGTCTAACTTATCTACACACTGTAAATAAGTTGTAACAATTCTCATTTACTAAATGAGTTTTTCGTCCTAAAGTGAGGTGTTGTGTTCAAGTGACTAAGAGCAGTCCTAAAGTGAGGTGTTGTGTTCAAGTGACTAAGAGCAGTTATTCTTGTATTAAGTTCTGTGTTTGTTTGAATGAATTCCCTTCCCCCAATATCTCTAGTATAAAATACAGTTTGAGAGCGGCATCTGTCAACTCCCACCCACAAAAAGCTTGCCTACCCTGAATAAGGCAAGGCAGGAGATGGAATGGTCCCTTTTGGCCACTTCAATAGAATTTGTAAGCAAGCACAGAGGTAAAGCCTTTTGTGGCTAAAGAAGTAAATGGGTTGGACTTAACACTGACACATAATCGCAAATCAAGTCATGCTTCACGGAGGTGCCTTCATTTAGACAATAAAGCATATTCAAACCGCATGGGAACCTGAAGATACGAAACTCAACCCCACATGTGTTTTGAAAAATTGAGGTTGTTTCTTTACTCCAGTTAAATTCTTGAGACAAAATTCCAGATAGGATACAAACTGCAACACCAGAAATCTGCTAAAATCTGTGTTTCCTAACCAACATTTTCTAAACAGAAACGTCACAAAGCTTTAGCAACTTGAGTTCTAAAATACAACTAGATTGGCGATTTTCAGTATTCTAGATACAGAAGTACCCTTCTATGCCCTGAAAATGGCAATTTTAATCTCCAATCCCTCTGTTTACGTGTTAATGGTCTGCCTTTGCTAGCAGGGTCCCTGTTTTCCTTCACATTTGCCAACTTCCACACACAGCTCTCGGACTCAGCCTCGATGGTCTCCAGATTGAATACTCCTTCCTTTTCGCGGCATTTAGAATCCACATCTTCTACATAGCTTACTCTCATAGGCATATCTATGAACCGATGTAAATCATCCGGTATCTTTAGTAACCTCTCTGCACCCGGAGATGACACCTTCAAAACAAAAGTAGTTTTATACATTAAACATATTTGTATGGATCAAATTCACACGATAGAGCCAGCCATTTAATACCTCAAGAGCCAAATTTTCAGGTATTTCTCCAAGTGCCCCAACTTCATCTAATCTTTTCTTGTATTCTTGACTGTAGCTTTCAAGTTCCTCCATGCTGGGACAACCATATCTGATAAAAGTAGAACATCATATCAGAACCTTAACATAACAAAGGGTTGCATATGAAGAGAATTTCATAATATATAAAGTTCATTTTTCCTCCATTTACAAAGCAAAACACAACTTGCGAAGGCCTTTATTTTATTTTTGTGACAAGTAGCCTTCAGCAAACAATCAACGGAAGGAAACTGAGAATCTGAAGTGTTGTCATCTTAAGCATGTGCTATTCTCCTATTTGCAGTCTGGGAAAATGAGTTTCATCTGTTAACTGCCAAAATTTGTATGTTAAGCTGTTTATTAAAAAAAAATTGCGGAGAAGAGTAGAAGAGTTACTCGTTTAACAGTTTGTCCAGTCTCACATATATATATCCTCGAGGAGTAGTCTTGAAAGAAAAGAGCTTGACATTATCTCCAAATTGCTTTAAGGCCTCATGAGCAATGGACAGAGCCCGCTCACCCCAGGGGACACCGTGCAATACCACCCCACCACCATCACCCCCATCGCCAATCTGTACAAAATCAATGACTAGCATCAAATGAAACATCAATTTTAAAGCCAAAATGAAGGTTGAGCAATCAAAATGTTGAAGCCAGACCATTGTACCTCAGGCTCACCGACGTCCTCTTCCTCCCAACCATCTGTGGTGTCTCCCTCTTCCCATCCACCTGAGGTCCCTTGCTCTTCAATTTCTTCACCTGAAAATGTGATACTTTTACACCCTTGAGAAGCAAACAATATAAGGGAATGTGTAAAGAAAACAACCATATAAGAAGAAGACCACATATATTTAGTTATTAGCTACTAGCTCTCTGTAAGATTTAGAGTAATTTTACAAACACTGAACTGAAGATGTTTTTTTCTCATTAGACAAACAATCACTGAAGTTGTGGCCTTGATAACTAGTAACATAAGGAAATGTGAATGCTTAATTACCATTCAAAGAAGCATAAAGATTTTTTTTTAATTTTTTTTATGTTTTATAAATTAAACTTCTTAGAGATTCCCAACAAATTACATATAAATTTAACAGATCATAAATGGGAAAATCGGATAAACGAGAAAATAGAGATGTACCTTCAAAAGGGTCATCTTGATTATCCTCAGTATCCTCAGAGGACTCTGTGTTTACGAAGCGAAGAGTAAGAAAAGGAAATATTGTGAGACAGGGTTTAAGAGAGAAACCAACCAAACCAGAAAGATAGGACGAAGAAGAAGAAGAAAGAGGAGGAGAGTTCAGGAGAAAGGGTAATGGGCTTTTGAGGTGGGCTGATAGGAAAGAAAGGCTTCTGAAAGATGAAGAGGAGGAGACGAAGCACCTGCGAGCACTGAGAAACTGTAGGCTCCTCCTCATCATCCTTCTCTCTCTTTGGGGTTTTGGGTGCTGGGTTTTGGCAAGCAAAGCTCCCTCCGTCTTTTACTTTCTAGTAATTCGCCGGTTCCGCGGCGTTCTTTTTCTTTTTCTTTTTCTTTTTCGGGTTATGATTTCGATACAAGGAACTTAAAGAAATAAAAAATAAAAACTTCTACTACCTTTTCTCAAGAAAATTAAAAAGATAGTGATTTATGGTGATCGCCCTGTTTTCGAATTATTTTCTTAAAATTCAATTTAAAATATATATTATTTTTATTCAATAATATGTGAGAATTATGCATATAATATATGAATTTTGTGTCTTATTGAAATTTTTGTAAACAATGCATGTATTAAATATGATAAATACGTGCGTACTTGTATAATACATTATTAAACGTGGAAGTGTTAAAATCTTTACACAGTTAATAACTCTAGAAAAGTAAAAAATCAAAAAAGGGTAATAGCTACTCAAGCAATGGCCTAAGAGCATTCCCAGCAAGGGGCCCAAGGGGAGGGCTAGAGGGGGCAAACCCAAAATGGTGTTTCCAGCAAAAAAAATCTGTCAGGGCAAGGAGTGGGGCCCAGCGAACTGGGCTGGCCCGTGGGGAGGTCCAGCCCGAGCACCAAAACTCGTTTTGGATTGACGTCAGTGCTGAGGTATAAATTTTTTTAATGTTGGCTCGTGTAACGCACGCGCCAATGTTAAAAAAAATTTGACGCGCCCACTACAGTGCCCCCCAACGGATTTCTTCCACATGGCTGGCTTCTGGGCTCTCCAATCCACTTTTTCCAGCAATCCAAAGACAGCCATTTTTTCCCTAATAAAAAAATGAAAAAAAATCGAAACTGCCCCCCATCGGCTCTCTTCCACGTGGCTCCTTCTGGGCTCTCTGATCCCCTTTTTTTCAGCAATCTAACGGCATCCAATTTTTTTTCAAATAAAAAAATGAAAAAAAATTAAATTTAAAAAAAAAAAAAACCCAAAAAATAATGAATTTTTTTGTCTATAAATACCAACCAATACTCTTCACTTTTAACACCAACAAAAATTTATGGGTTCTTCTAGTGAAACCAGAGGGGCATGGAGCATGATGGAAGATGTTAGCTTGTGTGAGTCTTGGCTCCACATTAGTCATTGTCCCGTAACGGGCAATGAGATGAAATTCTGTCATATGTGGAAAAAAATTCATCAAGATTTTTGTGAAAGGGTAATTAGTTCGACCCGTACGGAAATGACATTATCTAGTTAGTAGAAAATTCTTAATAAAGAGTTGGCGAAATGGAGAGATGCCTTGGCAAAAGCGATGAACAACTATAGAAGCCGGGAAAACCTTACCAGTGAGGTAAATTATTTGTAATTTTTGTTTTATTAATTTCTATGTCATATTAAATTTTATTTAAATGTTTCTTGCAATTTATATATTTTGTTAATATTTCTTGTATTTCCAATATTAATATGACTATTTGTTGCAATATTTATATTTTGGATTTCTAATAAATTGTTAAAGTTTCTTACGTTTCTATTTTTTTTTTAATATTTGTTGCATCTCTCCTTTCTCGCTCTTGCCTCTCCAAAACCTCTTGCATGTCTGCCATTGAAAATGGAGAATGAAATCTAAAATCTGAGAAATGAAGATGTAGAGAAGATATGGTGTGAGAGGTATGAGCTGAGCCTCTGGTTTTATAGAAAAATTTAGGCAGATAAAGATGACATGTGGCGCAATTTTAGAGGGTGAAAATCTTATCTGAAGTTTAAAATTCACATGAAATTTGGAATTTGAAATTTATCTAAAATTTGAATTTTGAAATGTATCTGAAATTTGAAATTTATCTGAAATTTGAATTTTGCAATTTATCCGAAATTTGAAATTTATCTGAAATTTGAAACCGAAAATCTTATCCGATATGAATAGTATTGACACATAGGAACCCAAAAATCTTATCTGAAAATATTATCCAAATTAATTGTTTAAGTAAACAAAGTTGTGAAAAAACAAAAACAAAAAAATAAATAGTATTTGTCATGGCAAGCGTAAACTGCTGGAAACACACTTTGTTTGGGGGTCTAGGGCTAGGGCTCCCCTTGCCATGACAAGGGGCTAACTGGTGGAAATGCTCTATAGTAATGGATATGGCTCTTGGGCAATAGCGAAATTTAATTAAGACACCCAAACGATTTCACAAAAGACTTGATAAATAGAAATTAATTATTTTGTGGACTTTTTCTTTAAACTTTTTTATATTAAATAAAAAAATAACTAATAATTAAAATAATTTAAAAATGCTAAGATATTACTTAATTAAATATATTAAATTAAAGAAGTAGGACAAAAAACTAAAGTAAAGAAACAAATTTTATATGTTTAAAATTCAAACTATTTAAAAATAAAAATAAAAATAAAAATAAAAAACCTGTTCCGACGAAAGTTCGTCAGCACAGGTCTATGCCGGGAAAATTTCCAAATAAATTTTGTTTTGAAACAGTATAGCCACCCGGCTATACTACTTATTAATGTATATATATATAAAAAAAGGACGCGCCCAGCGCCTAGGTGCCACGAGTCAAATGAGTAAAGCCGGGCGGCTATACGTCTTTTAAAATAATAATAATAAAAAATCGTATAGCCGCACGGCTATACTATTCCTGAACAAAATTCGAAAAAAAAACTAGTCTAGCCGGGCAGCTATACTATACATATAGACCCGCACAAAGCCCATGCGCCACAAGTCAAAAGAGTAAAGCGTGCTGCTATACTATGTTTTAAATTTTTTTAAGAAAAAACTAGTATAGCCGCACGGCTAATAATTTGGAGAAAACTGAATCTAGCCGTGCGGCTATTTATATAAAGACCCGCACAACGCCCATCCGCCACGTGTCAAAAGTTTCTCTCTAGGAGAGCAGGATAGGCCAAGACGGCATAGGTAGCTGGTGAAAGTCCAAGTGTACCAGAGAGTCAAGTGGGTGGGGTAGGGAAGTACAGTTTGGCACACATGGAAGAGATGGTAAACCGTTTCGCATCCCAATTTGCGCTGACTGAGGAGGAACAACAAGAATTGGTGGTTGAACGAGGTGATGAAAGTCTGCTTCGAACCACAAAGTTCCTTCTAGTCGGCAAAGTCCTTACGAAGAAACCTTTTAACAAGGAGGTGTTTAAGCGCACTATGGTGATGTTATGGAGACCAAAAGCTCGGGTGGAGATTGTGACTTTGGAGGATGATTTGTTCATGTTTTCTTTTTCCTCACGACATGACAGAGCGAGAATTCTAGGAGGGGGACCTTGGACCTTCAACCACTATCTCCTGGTGATGTCTGAAGCAGATGATGTGGTTAACCCATCCTGCATTCCTTTAAACAAACAGGAGTTTTGGATTCAGGCTCATGGGCTTCCATTAGTTTTCATGACGGCGGCCATGGGAAAAGAGATAGGGACTGCATTGGGCGACTTTGTACTCACTGATCAACGCAAAAGGAATGACTGCTATGGAAATTATCTGCGTATCAGAGTAGACATTGATATCTCAACTCCTCTTCGACGGTGTATGCCAGTGCGACTCCCTGGAGGACAGTCCACAACTCAGTGGGTGGATTTACGCTATGAAAGACTTCCACACACCTGCTATCTTTGTGGAAAGTTTGATCATATTGAGAAAGAGTGCACCAAGTTCACAGGAGATATTACGGATGATTTGGCCAAGCCCTACGGTAAGTGGTTCCAGGAGGATGTCTATGGACCAGATTTTCGCACACCCCAGGTTTGTCGTTTCGGATTGCCGTCGCCTATGGCATGGTCGAGACGAACCCCGAGTGACAGTGAGTCGAAGGAAGCACCGGTGGACTCCAATGATGGCAGAGGGCGGCAGGACGGTGGGGATTCGATTAGGGCTGACGTGGCCTCGCATTTAGGGTCAATTAATGTTCCAATGATGGCTGCGGTTATACATCATAATTCTGCCATGATGGAGGGTGTAACGGTTGGGGGGGTGCAGCAGATGAAGAAAGTTAATTATTGCCAGATTTGAACGTTGGGCTAGTACGTGGAGAGGCTAGGGAAAAGGAGAAGTTTATTGGTGCCATTAATACAGGGCTGGTTTTCTCAACGGTTGCTGATGGTAATGCAGACTTGATGCAATCTCCCATTAACTCAGCCGTTCACGCAGCATTAACTCAGGATTTTCATGACGCCACCCCTTTGGCCGATCACTGCTCAAGTGGGAGGATTGGCCCCAATCAATGCTGTGATTCTAAGGAAAATTCGGTTGGTGCAGATGAGGTTACCTATGACCAACATGGGCCCAACGTAACTGGTGAACAACACGGGGGCTTCACGGGGGACATGTCTCCCGAGGATCCTTTCGGGCTTAGCCCAATTATCCGACGAATTACAAAGGAAGCAAAACTGAAAACAAAGCGGGCCCATGCAGGAAGGAGTATATCCAGGGCTCATAGCAACATGCAGAATACCTCCAGGGCTCATAGCAACACGCAGGATCATCATGAGAGTAGGATTATAGGAACTCTTAATAATAACGGCAAGAGATGTGCTAACTTGACAGACAGTACTGCGAACACACAAGGGCAGAAGAGGCGATGCTTGCCTTCTGTCTCTTCTTCTTCATCGCTGAGATCGGCGGGAGCTGGCGCTGCCCAGCCCCGCCGGGCACCATGAATCTTCTCAGTTGGAACTGCCAAGGGCTTGGGAACCCTTGGACAGTTGAAGCATTACGGTGTCTTGTCCGTAATGAGGATCCCAAAATTGTGTTTCTTTGTGAAACACGTTGTTCCAAGAGCGTTATGGAATCGGTTCGGCTCAAGTTGGGCTTTCGTCAATGTATTGTGGTGGAAAGTAATGGGGCCTCTGGGGGCTTTTGTGTGATGTGGACAGATGAGTTAGCAGTTTCCCTAAGGTCTGCCAGGAACAACCATATCGATACGGAGGTGGAAGTCTTGGGGGTTCAGGGGAGATGGCGCTTCACAGGTTTCTATAGCTATCCTGTTACAGCGGAACGTCACCGCTCATGGGACCTTTTGATCAGGCTAGGAGCAACCAATTCATTGCCCTGGTTATGTTGTGGAGATTTCAACGAAATTCTGACAGCGGATGAGAAGACAGGGGGAAGGACTAGAGGGGCACGACAGATGCAAGGGTTCCAACATGCAGTGGATGAGTGTGGCTTCAAGGATTTGGGTTTTTCTGGACCAAAGTTTACTTGGTGGAGGAATAGTCCAGAGGAAATTCGAATCCGACTTGACCGTGCTCTAGCTACTACAGATTGGTGTACTCGTTTTCCTGGAACAAAAGTCTTGCACTTAAATCCCACGAAGTCTGATCACTTGCCTATAAGAATTACAATCAGCAAGAGGATGTTATCAAATACCAGGCATCGGAACCTATTTCGCTTTGAGGAGATGTGGGTACAACATGAGAATTGTATGGAGACAATAAGGGAGGAATGGCTCCAGCCTGAAAGTGGCTCTGCACCTAGAGTAGTTACTGAAAAATTAAAAAGAACCCGGCTTCGACTGTTAGGTTGGAGTAGAGGTATTTTTGGCTCCCTTCCACATCAAATTAAGTCTATCCAGACTAAACTAGGGGAGCTATTGGAAGCCCCCTTAACCCCTCAGACAATTGAGACCAGGAAGGAACTTACTGCAAAACTAGACTCGCTTATGGCCAAAAATGAGATTTATTGGCGACAACGGTCTCGGGCACTTTGGCTAAAAGCGGGTGACCGTAACACAAAATATTTCCACTATAAAGCTTCAAGTCGCAAGAGAAGGAATACTATTTCTGGACTGGAAGATGAGAATGGCATATGGCAGACGTCAGAACCCGAGCTGGAAAATACAGTGGTCCATTATTTCCAGCAACTTTTTTCTTCCAATGGGAATACAGATTATGAGGAGGTGGCTGATGTAATGAGGGGCCGTGTGTCAGAAGAGATGAACAGGAAGCTTTTAGCTGATTTCACAGCTGAAGAAATTAAACATGCACTCTTCCAGATGCACCCTTCAAAAGCCCCAGGTCCAGATGGCTTTTCTCCTTTATTCTACCAACAGTACTGGGATGTGGTTGGTGTCGACGTGGTGTCAGCTGTTCTTCACTTCCTCCATATAGGTCAGTTGCTGAAACGGATAAATTATACTCATGTGGCTCTCATCCCCAAGGTCCCTGATCCCAAAAATATGACACAATTGCGCCCAATCAGTCTGTGTAACGTTCTCTACAAAATTGGGGCTAAGGTCTTGGCTAATCGCTTAAAGGTCATCCTTCCGGCTTTAATCAGTGACTCGCAAAGTGCATTTGTCCCTGGGAGAATGATTTCAGACAATTCCATTGTGGCCTTTGAACTTCTCCATTTCATGCATAAAAGAACACACGGCAGGCAGGGATACATGGTCTTAAACTAGACATGAGTAAGGCTTACGATCGAGTTGAATGGAATTTCCTGGAGTCCTTGATGCTAGTGATGGGTTTTGATCGGCGATGGGTCCAATTAATTATGGCATGTCTGACATCAGTCTCCTACTCTTTCCTGTTGAACGGAAACCCGGTTGGTTATGTCATCCCACAGCGTGGCCTGAGACAGGGTGACCCTCTTTCCCCCTATTTATTTCTCTTATGTGCTGAGGCTTTCTCGGGGCTAATTGTGCAGGCTGAACAAAACGGTACCCTCCATGGTGTCAGCCTATGTCGGGGAGCTCCCACTGTTAGCCATCTTTTTTTCGCAGATGATAGCTTCTTGTTTTTAAAAGCAAGTCAAAGTGGTTGTGCACAGTTGAAACAAATCCTCCAATGCTATGAGCAGGTGTCAGGTCAAAAAATAAACCTTGATAAAAGTTGTGTGTCCTTTAGTCGAAATGTGGCGGATGAAGACCAAGAGCTTTTTGCCACTCACATTGGTCTGCCTACTCACATGACAGATACTTGGGTCTGCCTACTCACATTGGTCGTTCTCGGGGACAATGTTTCAACTATCTTAAAGATTGCATCTGGAAGAAAATACAGGGCTGGAAGGCAAAGTTATTAAGCTTTGCTGGTAAAGAAGTTCTTCTAAAAGTGGTTGCACAGGCAGTGCCCATATACATGATGAGTTGCTTTCTTATTCCAAAATTTTTGTGTGAGGAAATCCAGCAAATGATGGCTTCCTACTGGTGGGGAGCGCAAGAAGGGAGGCGAAAAATCCATTGGTTAAGCTGGAAGAACTTGTGTAGACCAAAACATGAGGGTGGTCTTGGTTTTCGGAATCTTTATGCTTTTAATTTGGCTTTGGTAGCCAAGCAAGTATGGCGTTTGGCTCATAACCCACACTCTCTGGTGGCTCGTCTCCTCAAAGCTCGTTACTATAGGGACTGCTCCATCTTGGAGGCCACTCTGGGAAACTCCCCCTCTTACGTTTGGAGAAGCCTGTGCCAGGCTAAAGTGGTCATTGAGAGAGGATCCCGCTGGCGAATTGGTGACGGCCAGACTGTTCGTATTTGGGAAGACAGATGGTTGCCAACTCCTGTTTCTTTCAAGGTCTTGTCTACTCCTGTGACGGAGCATGGTAATACTTGTGTCAGTTTCCTTATTGATCCAGTTACTTTGCAATGGAAGACATATTCTAGGAGCTTGGTTTTCTGCGGAAGAAGCAGCAATCATACATAAAATTCCCTTGAGTTTCCGCCAGCCACCGAATACGTTGATCTGGCACTTTGAGATACATGGCCATTACTCAGTTAAGAGCGGATATGAGGTAGCAAGGCAATATCTTCTCCAATTATGGGGGATGTCGTTCATACCAATGGTACGGCCAATGGGATTACTGCACCAGTCTGGAGAAAAATATGGGAGGTTCGTGTCCCGCCGAAGGTCCGCCTCTTTTTGTGGAGAGCCATGCTAAATATTCTGCCCACCAAAGTCAACTTGAAGAGGCGGGGCGTCGCTGAGCTGGGTGGGTGTGTGTTTTGTGGAGAGGAGGAAACCGGCTTTCATATATTTGTGCAATGCCCAATGGCTGAAGCGGTTTGGCATCACTGTTCATGTTGGGGCTCTCTTCAAAGGGTTGTGGCTGTTGACCTCACAGCGTGGTTCCAAGATGTTGCCCTCACCCTTTCAGCCCCTGAGTTAGAGCAAGTCATGATTTGTATGTGGGCTCTGTGGAATGAACGTAACCAAGTGGTTTGGAATGACCGTCGGCGGAGTGTGTCAGAAATTGTTAGTGGAGCCATCCGGCTGTTGCATGATTCTTATGAGCTTCAACCTCCTTTGATCCCTCCATCTAGAGTCAAGGCGAAGTGGCAGCGTCCGCCCTTGGGGTCTATCAAAATCAACCTGGGGGAGGCTTGTCGGGGTGCAACAGGGACTGGGGGGATTGGAGTTGTGGTTCGTGACCATGTTGGTACTTTTCTTGCATGTAAACTAGTGTTTGTTCAGGGGGTTTCCAACCTTTTGCATGCAAAATTGCTAGCCTTGAAGGAGGGGCTTTTGTTTGCCCAAAGATGGCCTTATGTGCAGCGGCTCATTGAAGGTGTTGGTCAAGGAGTTGGTATTGTTCTAAGCCAAGTATCACAGGATTTGTCCCACTTTGGTTGCTTAGTTGACGACTGTAAACTGTTACTAGTGCAACAGGGCAGTATATTAGTACAACATGTGATGAAGGAGGCTAATGAGGCGGCTGCAAGACTTGCTAGGATCGCTTTACACTCCCACGGAGCGGCTGAGTGGTTCGGGGACCCCCCAGTAGTTTTGCTTGATGCCTTAGTGGCAGACTCTTTTTAATTCCCTTGTTCTAGAAATTTTATTGTACGACTGGCATGTGTGGTACTCTTTCCTATCCTGGGGTTTTATCCCATGTGGTTTTCCTCGGGAAGGTTTTAACGAGGCCACCTTAACATGCCCTTTTGTACACAATTTTATAGTTGAATGGAATGCAACCCATCGCTTTTCCCCTCAAAAAAAAAAAAATTTAGAAAAAAACTCGTATAGCCGCACGGCTAACAATTAGGAAAAACCTGAATTTAGCCGTGCGGCTATAACGTTTAAAAAAATACATATTATTTTTATTCAATAATATATGAGAATTATGCGTATAATACATGAATTTTGTGTCTTACTGAAATTTTTGTAAAAAATACGTGTAACAAACATGAGAAATACTTGTGTACGTGTATAATACATTATTAAACGTGAAAGTGCTAAAATCTTTATACAATTAATAAATCTTGAAAAGTAAAAAATCAAAAAAGAACAATAGATACTCGAGTAATGGACTAATAGTAATGGATAGGGCTCTTGGGCTATGGCGAAATTTAATTAAGAAACTGAAACGATTTCACAAAAGACTTGATAAATAGAAATTAATTATTTTGTGGACTTTTTCTTTAAACTTTCATATTAAATAATAATGAAAAAATAATTAGTAATTCAAAAAGGCTAAGATATTACCAACTACATATATTAAATTAAATAAGTAGGACCAAAAACAAAAGTAAAGAAAATAATATTATATTTTTAAAATTGAAAATATTAAAAATAAAAAACTTGTTTTGACGAGAGTTTGTCAACACAGGTCTATGCCAGAGAAATTTCAGGATAAATTTTGTTTTTAAACAGTATAACTGAACGGCTATACTATTTATAAATAAAAAAGTACGCGCCCAGTGTATAGGTGCCACGTGTCAAAACAGTACAGTCGGGCGGCCATTTTAAAAAATAATAATAATTAGACAAACGAGTATAGCCGGTAAGAAAAATCGGAAAAAAAAAAAACTAGTATAGTCGGACGGCTGTAAATGTTTAGTTGAGGAACCATTGCTACAAATAAGCCTTATAATAATGTAGGAGATTGGAGAGAATTGAAAAAGAACAGAACCTTTAATAATTTTCATTTCCACAAGATTATTCATGTGATTTACAAGGAAAGTTATTTACTTGATACAAGTTATTTATGAAAAAGAAAAGAAAAGAAAAGACGGCATACGCATCAAAGTGAAGCCGCAGCATCGTACAAGGCAGACCACAACAACTACAGACTACCTACCCATTGTCAACCGCACAGCTCCTCTTCTCCCTTGTAGTTCAGTTTATCTAGCCTCTTTTTCTTTTTTGATAGAATCTACCCTTTTAACATATAGATCATCAAAAGAAAGAAAATTACAGTCTGGCAGCCTACATTTTCCTACAATCTAAGAATGGTTCGTAGTGTATCACAAAGATTTTGAATCGTCTGTTGTTCCTGAGTTGCTTGCAACTCTTGGAGCGGCATATCTTCGTAGCACCTGAAGCAAGATGTGGGCAGTAAAGAACAAGCAACACAAACAAGGAAATCACTTGTAAAAGCAACATTTTTCTTTTCATTTTGTACCAAGCCAAAGTAAATGTTCAATGCAAATATAATTTTGTTGACATACATCTTGTGGTAGGCTAAAGCCTGTGCGAGATTCATTAGAGTTGAACTTGTAAAGAGCCTTTTGTAAACACTTGGAGGGAGGGGCATCTGCAGCACATCAAGGGATCAAAAAATGCTTAGAGAGAGAGAGAGAGAGAGAGAGAGAGAGAGAGAGATTTGACCTCATTTTGCCCTCTTCGTCCCTTTTTAGACTGTCCATCACCAGTAAAAAGCTCCTGTAGAGCCTCCACGGCTACACTTCCATTATTTTCCTCATGCATGCCTCCAAGAACATTATCTGATAAGAGAGCAATGGGGGATATATCCGTTGCCCTCAAAAATGGAATAGGCACTGTATTACCAGCCGCATATATGGACCAAAGCTGCCATAAAAATGAAAACAAGCAATTAAATACTTGCATTGACCTTGGAAGGGGAGGGTTTAAGTGGAGGGGGTTGGAATGGTGTTCGATTAGTGAGGAGAGAACCAAGTGGCTACAAAGGGAGGAGGGCATGTTTGACTGTGATAGGGGCCTATCAACTGGTAACCATAAAATTCAGGATGAATATTACCTTATCTTGCATTGCAAAAGCTTTCCGGTTGACAGTTTCATTCTTCAATGTGCCACTGCTTTGACCTTCAACCTGTCCTTTTGTCTTTAGGTTCTGCTCAGAAGAGCCAAGAATTGAACGAGAAGATGCCTGTATGGTCTGTGTAACTGAATATGGTTCTCCAACCGAAATGCTATGTGGGGAAACACCTCTTGCATTTTCCACCCTGATAGAACATCTCAATAAATTCACTGCGGTCTTCTAGAAATAAGTTTATATTTTGACTAGGAAATTTATATCGTATATCAAGTAATCTATCTTTTATCTACATGAGCAAATTAGTATTATCACAAACTACTACGTCCACACCCCCCAACCAAAACAGAAAAAGAAGGAGAAAAAAAAAAAATCTTAAATACAGAATTCTGAATAAAAATTCACAAATAAATCGTGAGGGAAGTACCTGGGTTCAGCTGGTTTACCTCCTGTGCCAGTATTGGAAGGGTTTTCAAGAAATCCTGGACCAGCTGCAGGTTCTTTGACATTAAAACTTTGTGTCTGATTAGCAGTCTCATCTCTTTCATCTCCACCGTGAATTATTACAGTGCCAAAATTACCTGTTAAACATAGGTTTTACATAGATCAGATGATCAAGCCCTACCCCAAGAGTTCAAACAAGAGAATCAATAATTATGCCCTCACAGAATCATTTCACTAAGATAAATTTAGCCAACCGGTCTTAGAGATTCACAACATGAATAGAGCAACCCCAATATATCGAACATCAAGTGATGTCCTGTACCAAAAATAGAAAGCAGTAAATGATGTCACTATCACTAGTAGCTCACCATTCCATTTGCACCCTTATAAATCTAATATTATGAAAACACATCGTCCAGCCCACGGTTGGCTTCATCACAATATTTCATGCAATAAAAAAAAACAATAAATGTGTAAAGGAAAAAAAAAAAAATTAAAGGAACAAGTTTCCATTAGGACCTTAACGTCCCTGCTCCGAATTCAATATCCAAGCACAAATTAGTTTTTCATATTTCAACCTACTCAAGACAGCTTACTAGAGACATCTGAGTAGATGGCACATGCATTACCATGTAGATCCAGGCGAATCAGCCCAATCTCAGAAATATTTCTGAAGAAATTAAGTTGTTATGTAACTATCATGTACAGCACACCTAGAAGTCTTCAGTCGAATAACAAACATACCTTCCCCAGCTAGTCCTGCATCACCAGATATGTGCTGCTTCCTCAACGTGCTAGCTGTAGATACTTCATTTTCCACTTGATTATTAGGCCTTGAAGGAACCGTATCTCCATAATCCTCATTGACTTTTGAAACTACAAGTGTCTGTTCAAATTAAAACAGCATATTCAGATAATAAAAAATTGACACAAACCTGCACAGAGAGAAAAAAAGAGAGAGGAAAATTTCATACGCTATCATCCGGTTCAACTGGAGCAACACTTTGTGCTTGCAAAGCCATGGAAGCTCTAATTTGCCTTGCTTTTTCAATCTTTGCCAGCATTGCAGAGGGACCACACTTGCATTTTTCGATGAATTTGTGCTGTATTTTAAATAAAATATTTTTTAACTCACAATAAAGACAAATTGTAGGATTATGAGCACTAGTAAAGATGAGCCATGATATTTCCTTTTTAATATTGTACATAACTCAATCCACTTTATGTAAATAAAATTATACAAATTTATAAATAAACCCAATCCTAGACATGTATTTATAAAAAAACCCTAACACTATTTAAACATAGAAACACACCCAAACTCAACCCCAAAATCAACAATTGTATATTTTTTGGGTGTGTTTATAAATGGGTTTTGAGTGTGTGTAATGATGGGTTTTGGGTGTGTTTATAAAGTGTTTTGGGTGTTGGGTTTTTTTATAATTTCAGCCCCCATTTTGGGTGTTTTAGTGAAACCCCCATAAAATTACTCCCAAAAGGAATCGTATGCTTGCAAGTATCATCAGAAGTTTCTATATAAATCATTGCTTCAAGTTGATTGTTGCAGGAAAGAAATTGATTTTGATGGAAAAAGTTTATCATGGCACAACTTTTAAACAAGGCTCTTCATAATCCCAATTTATCAATAGAATGTAGAGCCCTTCACTAAAAACACTACCTTCAGCATCTCAGATGCAGTAGGACGTAGACGAGGTTCTTTTGTGAGGCACTTCGCCACAAAATCATGAAACACAAGAGACCTGCAAGAGAAAACCTAAGGTCATAAGATGTTCACTAAAAACACTACCATTTTAGCAATGTGGCACAATAAAAGCAAAAAACTTTGGACTTGTACATGACAAAAGTTAAAACCATCATGAATTAAAAATTTGCACTAGTACAACTTCACATCAGAACTCTTAATTGTTTGATGATAACTCCTATTGTTCTATTGCAACCCCTCCTAAAAGAAAAAACAGATTGAACTCAAGTACCGCAGCTTGTATAAGGGCCAGGCAAAGAGTCACTCCAAGTCATAAGCTTAAGTGTTAACTCATGCTCAGTAGTTACTAGTTCAGACCACAGCAATGGTTCAGGTAAAAAAATAATAATAAAAAATCATGTTGGTCGAGTACAAATCTCGTAGGGAACACGAAAATCATAAAACCAACAATGCTTTATGATACAGTAGAAAGTATTTTAACATTGTGATACCAGATGTGTCAGGAGAACTGCTTTATACAGGCTACTGTCCTCAATAATTGCTAGAATAAGATCACAGATACAAAAGAATGAAAACGGACCATTTTTCTTTATCCTCAAGCATCGGGGCTGGCTCAAGGGATATCATGAATAAAACCTATAATAGACAATAAATAGGTTACATATCCCCTCATCAAATAATGATTTGAATAGAAAAAACTAAAAACGAAGAAATTTTTTAGCAAATCAACATTCAACTTGGGAAAAGTAGAAAAAACAATTGAAAGAATGATGCTGCAGAATTTTCCTTTCCTCTTTTGCTAAGTCTCCACAAGCTTTCCAACATCTTCAGAAGCTAAATTTCCTTCAAAGTTTTATAAAAACGAATATACACAATTCATTATTCACTATATTTTGAAAATTTTAACCGAAAGAAAAGAATGGAACCAGGGGAAAGAGAGTTGAAGGCTGTTTAAATTTGGATGGCTAATCAGACCCTTCAGTCCCATACTCATATCAGTTTCTATTAACCACACAACATTTGAGTCACACTCCTCCCCCACAAGGGGGGCCTTGCGGTTTCTGTGATTTTTAATCTAGTAATAGGCTATTACGAATATGTAATATGAGTAATATATTCACATCACATCACAGAATCCCTAAAGAAAATAGATAGATGGGATATTTTTGCTACTTGTATTTATCCAGGACCCCGTATCAAAGGCGCATTCCTCTTGAAACATCCAATTTTTACTAATGCTATCTCTAAACCTTATTGTCAATAAAAGCACCCAATGAAAGAATATGCAACACAGAAAGTGACCCCCATACTCCAATTGACCATGCAACCAAGGTACAAATTATGACGAAGAAAAGATGCACTTCAACTTTCTAATAACTAGAAAATAAAAGGTGGAAAACACTAACCCTCATTGGATGCACAGAAGATCTTGGAGGGAGCCCCTGAAAATTATCACAAGGAAAACATACCAAAATGAATGACCATTGCCAAGAATGGCATGATATTGTGCAAGAGAATAATGAGTAATCGATTGGGGGTAAGGAATAAACAATTATTTGTTAGTGTGAGCTAATACCAGTATTCTCAATTTATACAGCAGTCACAAAGAACCAATTACTTAAGATACTGAAAACAGGAAAAGAGGAAAACACTAACAAGCAGCTTAAAACAACCACCTCTTAAATTTTCCATGAAATTGGACAATTTACATGCTGAACCTATCTCCTTCAAAAAGAACATGCTGAACATATATTACCTCTGCCATTTCAATTGCAGAAACACCAAGAGCCCATACATCCACCTGAATAAGACATAAATTAGATCAAGAAGTCAGTCTTGCTATGGGTTTCACCATAATAATATTATCTCTAAAAGTAGTTAACCAAAGAAAGAGCAGCACATGGTCGGATGGTCCTAGAAGAAAGAAGCAAGATGACACAAATAAAATTCTGCGTACAGTACAATACCTTTCCATCATAGCGGCTTTCCTGAATAACTTCTGGAGCCATCCAATGTGGAGTGCCAATGAACTGAGTAAAATAAAATTATGTAAAAAAAAAATTCCTGGAATCAAGCTTTGTAACTGCCCATCCTATCAGGAAAATAATATTCGCAATTGTCTTTTTTATTCATCACAATGAAGCAAGTTCAGGGAATCAGCAGAGTCCCTTGATTATGTTTTTAAAATAACCAAATCACCTAAACAAGCCTTAAGGACTTGAGGAGATGGTGAGGGCACATGGGATTCGTGTCTCATGAACCATCCTGTCAAAAGTTCAACCCCACAGCAACCACTTTGGTAGCTAACACAGGGATTTATCCCAGAAAGACACCCATTATTGAGAACAAGAAGAAATACTAAGCATCAGACCTTAGAACAAAGTACTAGCAACTTCTGGTATACCAAGTGCAAATTTTGGGGCAATTAAACAAATTGTCATACTAAACACAATTCTGCATCAAGTATGACATTTAGATCTTATCCAAGCAATTGACATACCGTGTTGCGCTTGGACATGGTTCTTGTTAGCTGTGCTGCAACCCCAAAATCACCTGTCAACATTGTCATACACCAAAGTTGGGTCAATGTGTTTTTACAAGTACAAGAAACTTATGAACTTCACATGCAAAACAAAAACTGAAAACAATAGTAAAGAGCACTTTATTATACTCCATTTCTATTGTCAAAATGAAATGTTGAAAAGAAAAAAAATTAAAGGGCAAGGAAAATCCTTGCCACCCTCTTTGATGATGTCATAATGCTATTAATGTTATGGAGAGTATGAAAAAGTATGATTATCATCAGATGTGAAAGATCAGCGTGATTCAAGTGTTACAAAAACGTCCTTTTATTGTCCCTCCCTAGAGAGTACACCACATATAAGCAAATGATCATTGCACTCACCCAACTTCACATCTCCTTGTTCAGTTAACAGAATATTACCACCCTTTATATCTCTGTGAACAGCATATGAAATAGACAGAAAATAATTTAGTTAAAAATATATTTAATTGAATAACAAAGTATGAAAATGGCATCAGCACTACACAACTTTTGAGTTGGTTAAATTGCATCCAAATATTAAACCTGAGATAACATAAAGACTGAGGCATTTTATAGGCACTTCATTGAGCATTTCCTCATGACAAAACTTAACCATGCAAAATCAGGGGAGGGGAGACCCCCTTAATGAGGTGGAATTGTTTCATTTGGATCGAAATATCCATTCAAAGTTGATCAAACCTTCAATGCCTCCCTACAAATGTAGGCTATTTGGTACTCCTCCAAAGCATCCTCGGTAACATTCATCAAGTCTGCAACACTTCCACCACCACAGTACTCCATCACAATCTAAGAAGACGCAGAAAAACAGTCACCAGTCTCAGATTTTGCACTACCCAAATTACAAAACAAGACACCAACAATAGCTCTATCATTTAGCAATTTCACCATTAACCAAAGCAAATGCTATCCATTACCCAAAGATACTCTTCTCCTTGGTAGCTCCCCAGGTACCGAACAACATTAGGGTGATTGCATTGCTGCAGCATCTCAATTTCACCACAAATTTCTTCATACCCCTCCTCCTAAAAACAAATCAAAATCAAACCCCGAACAAAGTAACCAATCAAATGCATAAGAAACCGAAGAAGATAACAGAAACAGACCCCTTGAGACAAGGAAATGACTTTGATCGCCACGAGCTCCGAAGTCTTTATATCCCTAGCTTTATAAACCGCGCCATAAGACCCCTTCCCTGGCATTCCCAATACCACAAAAAATAAAAGGAAAGGAAAAAAACCGCTCTAAGCAAAATTCCATTCAGGAAGAAATGAAGGAGAAGCTGAAACACATTGAAGTTGAAGTACAAGAACCCACCAAGTTCATTGAGCAACTCGTACTTTACTGTGGGGTCTTCTCTGGTAACGCTATCGGGTATGGAACTCGACGACATTTTAGTGGTTTGGCGATACTCTTCGCCTTGCGAGGATCCACTGCCCCTCCTCTGCTTCCCAAACCCTAACTCCGACGAGGCCTGCATGCTCGCCACCGCCCTACTCATCGTCGAACCAGCGCCGCTGCTCGTCCTTCTCACCACGGTCCCACTTATCGACTCTCTCTCGCTCGACGACCTGACCACAAAAGTGGAGAACCCATCGCCATCTCCGTCATCGTCGATGGAGCCTCGCTTGAAGTCACGTGACCCCCTCGTGGTCCGATTGCGATCGGGCTTGATGATCATAGTGCCGAAATCGCCGCCATTTTCGTCCTCCTCGTCGTCGAAGTAATCGATTGAGGCTCCGCCGCCGAAGTCTTTGGGAAGGCGTTTGAGGAGCGGAGGGAGTGAAGCGTCGTCGTCTTCGTCTTCGTCTTCGTCGTCTCGAGCATTGCCCTTGTAGACCATTGTGGCGTAGAGGTCGGGTTCCGGGTCGGAGCTCTTGGGCTTGCTCCGCCGCTGCCTTTGGTCTCGATCGGATTCGGAGTTGGAATCGTCATCTTCGTGGATGACAACGGTGGAGTAGAGTTCGGGTTTAGGTGGGATTTTTCGGGTCCGGCGGGTGTTGGGCATCGGATCCATTTCTGATTGGGTGTGACAGAGAGAGGGCGGGGAGTGTGTGCGTTAGCTGATGGAGAAGGCCATAGCTGGGATGGGAGTGGGTGCAACTCTCTCTGCCTTATTGGAACCAGCTGTTGAGCACGATGATACTGTTTTTGGGATTTTGGGGTTTTAGGTTTTTGGGCTCACATCTATTAGTATTTGCGGTTTGAGCCCAATATGTTTTTTTGCTTCTTGATATAACAAAGCTCGTGTCTCTGCAACGGGCCTTTGTATTCGCAACCAGGAACTCAGTCGATCTGTATTCACCCAGCCATCTGCCCACTGCACCAAGGCATCCATAAAAATTACGAACTACCAACTTTGCCCCTTAATACACTTAGAACTTTTTCTTTTGAAAAAGAAAAAAAAATTATAAAAAAACATAGGCAGCCATGCCAGGAAATATCCTTATCTAAGAGCATCCACAATAGGAGGGTGTATAAGAGGATGTATATTAAATATACACCCTTTGTCGCTGGAATCATTTTCAATGGGAATATGTAAATGGTTGTAAAAATACATCACAACCATGGAGATATAAAATTAGATGTACATTTGCATCTTTGTTTGCAGGCGGGACACACAAGAGTAAAAGGGGAAGGGAATGATTGGAATTCAAAATGGAAGGCCTAGATTTCATGCAATTTGCATTGCACTTCCAATGGCCTAGATTTCTACATATATATTTTTATGTTAGTTTGTAGGTAAAATCATATGTTCTCCACATTTAAATTTTTTTAGGTCCATTTATTTGGAAAAATAAAATAAATCTAACACACACAAAATTAATTTTAAAAAGTTAAAATATACCCCAAAAAAACACACAAAAAAGATTTATCACAAATAAATCAGATATGCATATTTGGATTTACATCGTTTTCCATTTGAGCAAAAAATGTATTTACACCCCCTGGAAGTGTAAATGAGATGTAAAAGTGGCTTTACACCCCCGAAAATGCACCCCCCACTGTGAATGCTTAATCTCCCTATAAATTTATTCTCCACATCCAGTCATTCTCCAAACATGAAAAAATTAAACTTTTACTCAATAAAAGTATGATAGATATGCAGAGATGGATTCGACCAGTTGATTAGGACAGTGTACGCTATAAAAAAACAAGCATTATTCCACACACCTTTGTTTAGGGGTGGTTGCGGTTCGGTAACCGCGAATTTTTACTCAAACCGCAAACCGACCGACTATTTGCGGTTTGGTGATTTTTGAAACCGCAAACCGACCGCGTTTTGCGGTTTACCGCATTGCGGTAAACCGCAAAATGAGGTCGGTTACCGCGAATTAGCGGTTTAAAACCGCAAGTTCTCAAGCATTCACAAAAATATAAATTCACAACCTAAATAAATAAATACACAACCTCAAATTCTCAAACATATATAAATTCACAATTTCCTCAACTTATCAAGCATTCACAACCTAAGAAAATTAAAGTTACAATTCCAAGCATTCCAATTAAAGTTAAACTTCTCAAACATTCCAATTCCAAATCCCTTAAAGTTATAAACCAAAAGGAAAATGTAAAGCAAAATGAATTAAAGTTATAACAAAAAAGAAAAATCCAATTCAAAGTTAATTAAATTTACAAACTAAAAGGAAAATGCAATGCATCAATGTTACAAACTAAAGTTACAAACTCAAGTGTTGGTGGTGAGTGGATTTGAAGAATACCATTGTATTGTTTGAGCACCAATGTAATCTACAAATAAAACAACATAGTTTAGTACATTTTATTATAAGAAGAAGCATAAATAATATTAGCATAAATAAACTAATTACTTACAAGTTGTCATATGTTCCATTTCCTTGTAGAATTCAACTTCATCATCTGTGCGGCTATACTTTGCGGTTTGCGGTAACCGCAAGTTTTGAAAATCAAATACTGCAACCGCAACCGCAAATGCGGTTCGGTTCTTAATACAGCAAATGCGGTTCGGTTTACCGCGATTGCGGTTTCATTGCGGTAAATTGTCGGTTGGTTTTTGCGGTTTTTCGGTTTAAAATGTCACCCCTACCTTTGTTATATACAATAAAGTTGGAGGAATGCAATTCCTACAGTAAAAATTCATACTTCACGCGAATGCGATTGTAGTTCGTATAGATTAATGATTTTTTACAACAAGAATCCACTCATCTGCACTAGGGTAAAGATTAGTCACAATGTAGTTGAATTGTGATCCCATTATTTAGAGGGAGCTTAATAGATGATCAAGTGAATGGACTAGTAGTGTTGATACGATTACCGACTCACTTGCACAATGACTATCTGTTGTTGATATGATCTGTTTTGATATTTAGATCTTTACTTCGATCCCCTTTGATATTTTTCAATATTTGCAATATTAATCTGTCGGGGTAAGGTAAGCTTTTGGCTTTCGGCACAAGGCGTCAAGGCGTCAGTGACCAAGGGGGGCCACTGCCTCATTTATGCCCCTTCCTAGATTTATATGATGCTGCTGCATCCTATGAAATGCTCTCCATTCACAACAGCTTTTGCAATATATAGCTAGTCGGTTTGATCGTCAAGACTCAATTCTCGCCAACGCAGCAGCCTAGAGACAACCTAATTGTGCCTTTCGTTTAATAAGCACAAATAGTTACTATCAAAAAACTTGTGTGAAACGGAAATAATACTATTTTGCTATCTTTAACTAATCATTTACTTTGACGTTAAAAAGTTATCACACATAGCATGTCGTTAGTTAATTAGCTAGACTAACAAATAATATTATCCCCGTTTCTCCCATAAATGACGTCGAAGCAATATAAAAATGTCGCATAAGGGAAGAATCATTATTTAGAGTTTAAACTGTAGATGTATAGTCTCAAAACGGTTAACCAATAGTTGCCAAGGGCAAAGGTATACGTGAAAAGAGAAGAGAATCAGTGAATCCATGAAAGCAAGCAAAAAAGGTTTGGCAGGGATATCCAAATCGCTGTTGCATCCCCTTTACACAAGCTGGCTTCACAGCACAACACACATATCTATCGCTTTTTGGCTCTGCTCCACCATATAGATGATAATATTCTCTCTATCTTAATTCAAAAGTAATATGAATCTCAAGAATAGAGCCGACTCATATACTACCAAAACCAGCAGTGTCTGGAGGGTTTTACTTTTGCTATTCATTCATCAATCATTTCATGAAGATCTCAAGTAGGACTAATTGAAATCTGGTTGCATGCATGCAGGAAAATTTTAAATAGTTAACCAAATTTCAAGCAAATGTCTTTCTGATAAATATACACACATCATTAATTAACTTTTATTTCACAACATAAGATGCCCATGCATTACATAAAACCAGACCAAAGTAACTTAATGCATCAGAAGCAGCTGCTACATTTTCTGCACATCAGAAAAACCCAAACTTGTGTGCGGTGCGTGAGACCAGCTGCATACTCAAAACTTGCACACCCAGGAGACCATTTACTCCAACTTGCACAACCTAAGCAACCTAATTTAAGTCTACTCTAACACCAGAACAGGGTCCACATTAATTTTACAATAAATAAACACACAGCACCAGCCCCAACATAAAATGAAAAGTATCATCAAACAAACCTAGGAACCGCCCTGCAAACCAGTGGGCTCTTCATCTCCATAGACAGTTTCAAACACTCGGACAAATCCACATCACTTTTCTCAGAAGGAACCCAATTGAAGTTCTGAAGCAACTGAGCCAGCCAGAGTTGAACAGAAGCCAATCCCAAGGCTCTTCCAGGGCACACCCTCCTCCCAGAACCAAAGGGAGCCAGCCTCAGGTCAGTGCCCACGATGCTCACTTCCTCTTCCAAGAAACGCTCGGGCCTAAACAATTTTGGCTCAGACCAGACCTTTTCATCATGAGTTATTGCCCACATGTTCACCATGGCTGTGGTTCCTGCTGGGATGAAGTTTTCACCGACATAAACATCATGGATTGCAATGCGAGCCCATGAGAGCAAAGGCCCTGGTGGGTGCACCCTCAGACATCAGAGCCCAAAACAGGCCTTGAGGCGCCAACCGCAGAGTCGATTTCACTTTGGGCTTTGGCTTGTATTTCTGGGTGCAAAACCATTCTTGCAAGAACCCATTCTAGCAGAGTAGCTACTGTGTCAGTTCCTCGGAAGATCATCTCCTGTAAAATATGGAACAATTAAATTTTTTAGAATTACACTAAATTCACCAAAAATGAGAGTTCAAATATGAACAAATTAGTACCCAAAGCACGGCGATCATGTCAGAGTCACCGAGTTTGTGATCATTTTCCATAGCAAGCAAAACATCAACAAAATCCCCATTGCAGTCGGTGTCAAAGTTGTCACCTTTGACCTTCAGCCTATGCTCTTCAATGATTTTTCCGACAAAAGCATTCACTTTTGAGACCAAAATTCTGCACCTCTTCCTCACACCCTGCAAATCCAACCAACCCAGAAATGGAAAATGGTTGTTCCAGTTGAATAAACCAAGCAGCTCATACCCTTCCCTGACCAGCTTCTCAAGCTCATGCCCTTCGCCGCCTTCCCCAAACTCATAGCAGCGCCCAAACACAGTCATCATCACGTTGTTCAAAGACCCAAAATGAAGCACGTTTTTCATCTGAACCTCACCTTTCTCAACCATCAAACTCCTAATCTCCTCAGCCATTTTCAACCCCGCTTCACGTCTAAAAACTTCAGAGCCAGCCATTCTCTTAGGACTAAACAAATGGGTTGCTGCTATCCTTCTCAAATTCCTCCAGTACTCTCCATACGGCGCAAACCCCATTGCTCTGTAAAACAAAAGCTCGTAGGCCGTCTCATTTGCAGGCCTATTGGCAAAAGCAGAGCTGTTCAAAATTTCTTTAGCAGTCTCTGGCTGACTTGAGATGACAAACCGAGTTAGCCCCACGGAGAAAGACATCAAAGCTTCGGCCTTGAGGCTCTTAGCCATCTTAGCAAGCACTCGGTGACGCGTAGAACCAGTGAAAACAGTGAGTGACCCGATAAGCGGGTAACCGGGTGGACCCGGAATCGCTTTGAAAGCCCGGACCTTGCAAAAAGCCCAAGCAAGGCCACCGGGGAAGAGCCAGAAACCAAAGACAGCCATGAACAGAAACAAACAAGCAAATGCCTCAAAGCCCAGAACAGATGATTGAAGAACCATCCTGGGTATGAACAAGAGGTGGTATTCGAGTGACATTTTGGCGTCGCAGAGCTGGAATGCGAGACGCTTTGGGAGTTTGCAGAGAGGTGAAAACGGTTTTTCAGAGAGTGGGAGAGAGGAAGACGAAGAGTAAGCGCAGGGGACGAAGAGTGTGAAACGGGGGTTAGTTAAATAGAGGAAGTTAGTAGGTGAATTAACCGTGGTAAAAATATTGACTTAACTGGGGTTTAAAAAGCCCAGTCTCGAATCAATATCGATATCGTAGCTGTGTCCCATCCATCCGATCACGATTCGCGAAAAGCCCACCACGGGCCCACCTCCTTTAAAAATGCACTTTTGGTAACTTGTTTATAACAAGTAAAAAAACATTGTTATAAAAAAGAGTAATTGTTGGGGCAATACATATGTTGGGTGGGGATTGTGATTTTGAGGTGAAACCGATAATCGATTTTGAGGTGAAATTAAATTGGATTGGTTTCACTTTAAAATTATATTCGAATTAATTACAATATAACTGTCACATTTCGAGATCAGTTTCGTCGTAGCATGATATTGTCCACTTTGAGTCACTTTCTCTGCTCTCATGGTTTTGTTTCTAAGAACTCAAGAGTAACTTTTCAGTATGTCACCCATCATGAGATTGTTGTAGCTTCAACTCGCTTAACTTCAGAGTTCCCATGACTCCGAAATCAGTGAGCTCCCAAAAGACCTCTTGCTAAATGGAGGTGGACATGTACATATAAAGCACATCACTCCATCTCCGTTAGTCGATGTGGGATGTTTCAATAATAGTTTGATTTGATTTGACTTTGACAATAATTACAAAGAAAACTGAACTAAACCAAACCAAATCAATTTAAGACGGTTTGGTTCGGCGGATTTGGGCCTATGTCCAATTCTACTTTATTTTTCATTTTTTTAACAATGTTAGCCCAATTACAACAACAACAAAATCACAACTTGCTACATACCTTTTTCATTTTCTAATGTATCAAACCATCCTAAAACTCAACATATCATAAAACTTCAAATTTTAATATTAATATAGCTATAATTCAACATTCATATCTAGTTATTTTCTAATTAGGGGACTACACATGTAAAATTAAATATAAATATATAAGTAGACAGTCCGGTTTAGTTTACGACGATTTACAAAAGTTCAAAACCAAACCAAGTCAAATAATATATGGTTCGGTTCGATTTTTAAGCTGTTTAGTTTTTTTTTTATCAAAATCAAACCAAATAGGTAATTACATATTGGATCAGTCGGTTTAATTAGTTCGATCGGATTGATGCATTTTGGTCTTCAAATTCGACAAATGATTGGCTTTCAAACTTGGAAAAATAGCTCATGCAGTCAATTAACTAATTCCCTCTCGTACCATTGGCCATGTCATTATATCGATTACATTTTCTATCAAATTCAAGGGGAATTTTATCATTTTAAGTCCACCTCCCTAGTGGTTTTAAGAGCAATGGTATATGAACTTAAACTCAATTTTCATTTTGGTCATTCAACTCATATTGGCTCGGTAATCCCTCAACTTTGTTTCCAACTTGAATATAGAAGCAATGATAATTTTATGTAGTTTTTACTTCCTACCAGCTTTCCTCGCAAAGTCGTTGCAATCGTCAACAAATTATACCATCATTTTATCCCCTAGCACAATCATGATTTCAATAAGAAGCAGCAACTTGGTAAACTACCCACTTACCCCAATGGCAAGCCACACTCCCCTTCTTATTACCATCCAATTTGATTTTCAAAAGAAATGAGCAATTTATGGATAAAGTTTGAGGGTGAAGAAGGGGGAGTGGCTAGGACACTGGGATTGGGAACTTCATTTCATTCTTCAATAATGGTGATAGGACCAATGATTAGAGAGGAAGTGAATTTGAGGGATCATCGAAACTAATTAATATTCGAGTTAGAGGACCAAAATGTAAATCGTGCATGAATTCAAATATCATTGCTCCTAAAAAGCATCGAACGTTAAAACTACTTAAAATGACAAAGTTGCCCTTATTTTTTATGTGAAAAGTAAGAACACTTCCATCTATGGTGCCATGGCAAAAGGGCAAGGGCAATGAAGGACAGAACTATTCACATTAGATACGAGGAGAGGATACATAATTTTAGTTTGGGAAGTGAAGAACATGACTAGGTATTTATAGAAAAAAATTTCTGAATTGTTTAGTGTTTTTTGTTTTTATTTGTTTATTTAAATTGGTCGTTGATGTTAGCATGATATAAAGAAACCCAGGCAACAACTCAGACAATTCTTGTTTTTGGACTGGCACGGGTAAATGAGGCCCCTTTTTGTCCGGACTGCGTTTCATTGATGTGGGGCTTGTTCTAAGCCTAAGCTTCATTTTGCCCTGGCAAATGTGCATCGGTGGAAGTGCTCTAATAGAATGTGAGATTTGGGCCAACAATACGAGATAAATTGAAGGTGAAGGACTGCAAGAGCCATTTTCGAATTTGAGTACCAAAATGTTAATCTAACATGAATTCATTGACTATTTGCTCCTAGTATCCAACGCGTCAAAGTTGTTAGGTTAAGGGCATTTGTTGTGTGCCTATGTGAGCTTAAAAAGTGAAGGATGAGGTGGGGTCATGGACACATATGAGGTGACACTTGACTTGATGTAAAAATATGGGGCATGATCTTACGATCTTAACAGTGTGATTTTATTCGCGATTCTGTTGACGTTTGTTTTTACTTTATTTTCATTTCGCGGAGGGGGAATAGTTTTGGTGGTGAGAGGAGTGATGATGCGGACCAGTTTCCTCAGTTAACTTGTTGGGGAACTTTTTTTTTTTCATCCAAAGGACAAGGCCACGAGGAATATGGTTTTGCAGTTTTCAAGGTGTTTGTTTGTCATAAATTCCTTGGATCTTGCTTGTAAAATGATTGACAACTCATGAGATTTGCTTTGGTTAAACAACCAATATATATTGTCCAGTTTCACATAGTGAAGGACTAGTTTGGTTGAAGTGCAAATGGGATCCTTGGCCTTCCTTCCTTCCCTTTGGGGAATTGCTTAACCAAAACATTAAAGCAACGTTCGAAAACGAAAGAACAAGACCGTATAAAATAGCCAAGCCCTTCCTCAGGAGAAAGACTTCTATGAAACGTAGAGAGCAGTACCACAGTGGTGGCCTTCCCCTTCTCCCTGCCCGACACCTAGGTTTGTAACTTCAAGGAGTTTCTTTTCTCCCAATGTAACAGAAAAAATAAAGACTTCTATGAAACAAAAATAACACTATTTTGTTATTTTCGATCAATAACGTTATAATACGAATGATAATACTTTCATATAATATTAGCATTATTAGTCAAAAATAGCTCTTTTTTATCCCGTTGCACCTAAATTTTTGTCCCTCCTCAGCCTTTAGCTGGAAAAAGTTGATCATTTATGTGAAGAGAGGGAGACGTGGTTGTTTTGTTGAACAAGCAAAGGCTGTGGTCTGCAGAAAAAAAAGCATGCATGGCAGGCAAGGCAGTGGTGCACGCTGTACCAGCAACAGCAACAGCAACAGCAGCAGTGATGCAATGTACTAACTAAATATATCGTCAATATACAAGAGAGAGAGAGAGAGAGAGAGAGAGAGAGAGAGAGAGAGAGAGAGCAACAAAAGGCAGAGGTAGCTTTAGGGCCGAGGCAATCAGTCAGGTCATGGAGTGGTCAATAAGTAAAACGATTTTCTCTGATTTCTCTCTCTCTCTCTCTCTCTCTCTCTCTCTGTAGAGTGCAGGCACTAGTAAATAGTAATATATATGCACGTTAGTGTTTATAGTGCTGCCGCCCAGCTTTGCCAGTCTATAGCAACGAGCGGCTTTCAACTTGGACAGCTGTCCCTCCCCTGTTCTGTTCATATTTATTAGGGCTGGGTATGTCTGCATGTATATTTGGTCCATTTGGGGTCATTGATTGATTGCCATGAGATATGAATCCAAATAAGAAAAGAAGCGAGCAAGTGCCAAGTGGGTGGAGTGGAGACATAGTCTCTTGCATCGATGGAATGAATCTTTATAAGATTCTTTGTTTTTCTCTGTATTATTCTTTTAAATTTTGATACGGGCAAATATCAAAGGAGAAGAAATCGCATTTAGGCCTGTTTGGTTAATAGGAAATGAGATTTGGGGGTGGAAAATTAATTACTTTTTCATATTTCGGTAAATTCAGATATAAAAAATCGTTGCCTAACTCATGGAAAAGTAAGGGAAAAGTGAATCCATTTTACAAAATCGGATTTTGTTTTCCATTCTCGTGGAAAAGTTTGGGGAAATGAACCAACATTAAAACACATTTTTCGTGACCATTTTGTTCCTATTAACAATTTAAAATTACAATATATCATTAAATGAATTCTTATTTTATTTTATTTAATAAGGGTATAATTGAAAATTTATATAAATTTTGTTTTCCATTCTTACTTTCCTAACATTACCAAACATGAGAAAAAAAAATCTTCAATTTTTCATTCCTTAGGAAATGACATGGGAAATGATTTCCCCTCAAATTCATTCCGTAAACCAAACGGAGCTTTAGAACTTCGGATGCAATATTAATACTCTTAAACAATTGAACTACAAACTTCTTACTTTTGTTTTAAAATTTTGGATTAAATTAAAATGAAAAAAAATAAAAACACCAATTGCATTGCATGCAGGTTCTGTTTGTTTTATATTTCAACCATATATTTTGAGCCCCAAGTCTATATAGAAGCAGAGTCAGTGACACCAAGGACCAGCAAAACCTGCCCTGTGATAAATTTTTTGCAGGACAATAACATAAAAGCCTTCTTTTTGGATGAATTTCATTGGTCTGTCTGACTCTGGTACGTATAGAGTGGCACATACTTCTACATGCACCATAAAACCATTAAATATCTTTTCACCTAGAAAACAAGATAGCCATAAATACAGACAAATTAATAACCAACTCTCCAAATAAATAAACAATGAAAAAACACATGGGACTAATTGTTTTGAAGAAGACAGTGTGAGAAAGAAGAGGTCCATTTACGCGGCCCAACCCAAATCTCTTTCGTCCCTGCCAAAACCATAACCGCCTTATTCCGCCCCCGAAGCCCAAAGGCGGAGAGATTCGAAGCGTTGCTCGTCTGCCAAACTGAGGGAGTCAGGTAACACAAATTTCTCCAAAAGTTTGTTTGGTTAACGAGAAAATTAATGGAAGTTTGAATATTTTCGACGTTAGCATTAAATACCCAAATTTTTTTCCTTGAATTTCTTAGTAACCATTTGTTTTTCTTAAAGTGGTTTTTTTTTTTTTGCGATCTTAGTAACCATCAGGGATCGCAAAGTTACAATCTTCGATACTTTTCTTACTTAGTTAGCTAATCTTTACTTAATTTCCGAATAGCAAGGTAATTAAACAGTCAATGCTTCACAAATTTGGGCGCTTCAGTCCCTTGTGTGAAGGTTATTTTGAATTACGTTTGTTTGAATGCTGTATTCATTAGTTTATGTCTTCTTGCTCAGAAACTGTTTGTGAAAATGTTTCATTGGCAATATCTCAATTTGTTTTGTGCGTGTGAAGGCTAAGTGTTGTGCTGCATTCTGTCGGTTGGGGTGAGGATTACAAGTAAAAGAGGAGAGTAGCCATGATAGGAAGTGCTCGTGTTCGGCTGAACCGGTGGCAGCAGGCAGCCGTTGCGGTTGGCTCAGCTGTGGGCGCATTGCTGGACCCAAGAAGAGCTGACCTCATAGCAGCTCTTGGAGAGACAACTGGGCAGCCTGCATTTGAAAGAGTTCTTGAAAGAATGAAGAAGAGCCCTGAAGGCAGGGTAAAGCCTCTTGTCTACCCTTTACCTTGTTATTTGGTTATTTATCAGTAGACAATGATCTAATCAAATGATAATACGTTGTACATAATAGTATATGGAAGTTGTTCAGAAAAACTTGCTCACATTATTCCTGTTGTTTCTGCCTAGCTATCTGCCTTGTGTTTTGTTAATGAGGGTGTTGGAGTTTTGGGTTACATGTTCTTTGAAAGTCTGCTTGTTTCGATAGAGAAGTGGCATGAACTGAGCATTTTGTGCCTTAGCAAGGGAAATGACCGTATTAGCTGCTAACGATACTTAAATAATTACTTATCGAGAAAATTGCTACTTGGATTATTGACGGTACCCATCCTGGCAAATTGAAGTTATATTTTAGCCTTTCGTGTAAAAATGGCAATATTGTTTTCCATGTTGTTAATGAGGGTGTTGGAGTTTTGAGTGCTATTGCTCTTAGTTTATATTTGTATGAAAGCTAATGGAAACATGGAAAACTACTACCACTCATAATGCTTTCGTATGATTACTTGTAATGAGCTTTTAATTAAGCTGATTCGTCATATGTAACTCACTGTTGTGCTTTGTATTTACCAAATATCAAAATGTTATGGAATGAGTACTTCAAAAACATTGTATGTTTGTTGTGCAGATAAAAAATGAAGCAATCTTTGTTTCTTGCAAATTCTATTTTCTCAACAGCTTCCTCTTGTTATTCTAACACCAATGGTTTCTTTTTTCACAGGCTGTACTGTTGGAGCAACCCCGTGTAATATCTGTAAAAGTGAGTCATGCATGGGATCTACCAGAAAACACATTTGGTGCGGCCTATGCAAAGTTCATGGGGACCAGGAACTTCTCCCCAGATGATCGACCGCCAGTGCGGTTCATGGAAACGGACGAGCTTGCATACGTGGCCATGAGGGCTCGCGAGGTGCACGACTTCTGGCACACCCTTTTTGGCCTTCCAACGAACTTGATGGGTGAATCGGCACTCAAGGTAATAGAGTTTGAGCAAATGTACCTTCCCATGTGCCTGATGTCCGTTATAGGGGGGTCGGCAAGATTCAGTGAGAAGCAAAGAAAATTGTTCTTTCAACACTACTTTCCTTGGGCCATCCGAGCCGGAATGCAGTGCACAGATCTCATGTGTGTATATTATGAGCAGCACTTTCATGAGGACTTGGAGGATGTTCGGAGAAAATGGGGCATAATTCCTGCTCCGGCTGTTCCTAAACAAACCTGAGCACCGGCAGCTTCATCTGCTATGGGGGAGACACTGTAGATTTCTGGAGCACATGAACTGGTTAACAGACTAAATTTTGTTTGAACACATCAAGAATTACCGTATGATTTCAATCTTCAGAAATTGAATCTCGTGGGACAAGATAACTCATGTAAATTATGTCCGGTCCTTGCCAGCACGTCTAATTATTTCATAGTGGTTTTCTATTTTTCCTTCCTTCTTATTTGTTCTATTATTTAATTTTTCTTTTATAACTTTTATAACTTCGGTGTGAGAACTGGGAACACGAGAGACACGACGGATCACATGAGCCTGGCAACGCAAAAGAAAGGCATGACATTCAAAAAGAAATTTTAAATTTTACCGATTATCACCACCACTCGAATTTCAAAACAACAAAAATGACCATATAAAGATGGCTAACAGAAATTAATCACTGGGAAAATAACAGAGAACACCAAATACGCACTAGGGAAATGCTGCTTTGTCCATGACAAGGAAATCTGTATCAGATGGTTTATGCATCTAAAAAAGAGCACTCTTGATTGAATGATCCCAACAACCACAACACCTATATTACATCACAGAATCCATAAAAGTCATAATTGTTTACATAAAGGATGGAAGGCATTGCCTCATCCAAAATAGAGGTTCCACAAAATTCAACAATGCGAAGGCATGTCTCAGTTGCCACCTGGTCCACCAAAGAGGTAATCCAGAGAAGAACCACCACCTGGGGCAGAGTGGACCTTAGTCGAGGGTCGATCCTGCACATAAGGAAAATCAATACCGACATAATAAAACACATAGCAACAAAACACACAAATAAAGACATTACAACCAACTGTGTTTTGAGCTGTAAAGACAAGTTTACGGTGGCACAATAAGTGATCAAACACCGGAACAAACCCTATGTCAGTACTTGGGTGAAGTAAAGGTCGGGAAGCACAATCAAATCAGGAACAGGTTCACTACCACCTGTGTGCTACCCTAGAGGGAGGGAGGTACAAGGGCAGGAAGCGGAGGAAGGACGGGTGAATCTTAAAATGTTAGATGGTGTAGATGAGAAATGCTTCTAGGTTGAAACTTGAACTTTTTTACAACACGGGGAAGAATGTTTTACCAAATTAGCAAAATGCTGAGATGTTTAAAGTTGTTAATCAAGACCCGCATTTTACATGTCATGTTCTATCCTATGAATGAAATTGAAAAACACAAAAGAAAACAGAGAGCAACATTTTGATCTAACATTTAATAATAAAAAAGGTATGGACACTGCATGTAAAATAGTATAGACACGCAGGAAAACCATACCGTAATGAAGTTTCCAGTGTTCTGGCCATCTGCACGCATGTAGTTGTTTGAAGAAGTACTGTGGATGCCAGCAGGAATCTGCTTGGTGATATCTACTGGCTCAGGAGCAGGAGGAGGAGCAGTAGGTTTGGAAGCAGGCTCATTAGTCACAACCCTCCCTTCGTTTGGAATTGGTGCAGCTTGGGTGTTGTTTGCGGCCGGTTTTGGAGCCTCCCCACTCCCGAAAAGATAGCCCAAAGAACTCTGTCCCCCACCACTGCTAACTCCACGACCCATGTTCTCCAACTTCTTCTTAGATAACCCTACACTCTGTGTTACAAGTAGATAGTTAGAATAGATGTTTGGGAAAAAGAACAAACATTGCAAGATATTATACTATTGATTGCTACTGGACGCCTCAAACATATACCATCAGTCATATGCCAACAGGAAAATTTATCACAAGGACCTTATCACTTCAATGTCTTGAAATGCTTTGAAATCGAACAAGCTTATTGGTGATCCATTTTATAGAACAAAACATTTACAATAAATCCGGGAGAAAATAAAAAAAAATATCTTAGTATCCGCATGGTAGGCTTCTGCCTTCATCACAAAAAAAGGCTCAAGCATGGGGCGTTTGGTAGGCCAAACCATTCCAGCTCTCTTTATTTTTGAAATTTTACTTCACTATTTAATACCCAAATGATCATTTCACCTAAATTAGACACAAAGACGCATAATTTAGCAAAATGTACGCTCAAACCACAAACTTTTCCGTACAAAAAAGGGGAAAATAAACAGATCCACCATAAACTGCACAGCCAAGAAATCCCAAACCGAAGCAAGAGAAATGTCTCAATCACACAATAGAACAAAGCAACATATATAGATCTACCAACAGAAATGAACCTCAACATGCTAATCAGTGCCGGGCCATAATTTCACCCACAAAATCAACTGAAGAAATATCAAATATTCGTTATAAAAAACACACAGAGAGAAGAACAAGAGAAAGCATCAAATCAAAAACAGTGAAATCGATTAAAGGTAAGGAATTGAAAGCACAACCCAGTGATTGAAACACTGAAACCTAAATCCGAGATAAGAGGCAGAGATCTAGGGTTAGCGATAGGGCTGGGTAGGGTACCTGGTTGTTGGGATCAGATCTGGAGGGAAAGCTGTGAAGCGGAGGGAGTGAAAAACACTGTGACCTCAGTACTGAGACAGCAAAAGCTACGCCAAATCTATGCGTTATATATATGAGTACATACACTCACTATTTTTCTATTTTTATTTTATTTTTATTCTTAAAAATTGGGAGTTCATTTATACGATACTAAATACCAATTCACAAATTCAAGCTATCTACTATAAATAAAAAAAACTAAATCCCTCATAATTCAATAGTGAAAAAACCGTTTGTATCCAATGGAGATTTTCATTATAATTTTTCCTGAAATTTTGAATTTTGAAGCTTTTCATTTTCACATTTTAAAATAAAGACGACATGGCGGGAGCAAAGGCAATAATCCAATTGTAAATGTAAGTGGGGAAGTAAAGTATTTTACCGTCGTTGAAGTGATTAGTCTCCACTTCCTGCCTTCTGTTTACTAATAATTTTCACTCTCGTTTTTTTTTATTTTTTTTACAGAATATTAAACAATTTTAAGATATATTATTGTTAGACTACTAACCGTTGATCATGCATTCAAGTACAAATTTATCTCTTTAAAGTTTTGATTGATACTGAAATTGTAAATTTAGCAAGAGAACATTTTTGCTCGTGTTTGAACATTTGGGAATTACGAGTCTATATTTTAATTATGAATTTCAAGGATTTTTGGCCAATTGCTTTCAAGCTTTTAATACTTTTATTATTATAAATAATTCGGTTCTAATTACTTTTGAGTTGCATATAGGGAGGGAAACTTAGAGGGCATTTGATATTCTATTTAAATAAGGAACTCAAGAACTTTGATTTTTCTTAAAAACAAGGAGTTTTTAAATATATTTTTAAAATTCAAAAACTTGTTTGGTACGTAACTTGAAAATTGTTTTCAAATCTTAAACATTTGAGAACTTGTGGGTTGTAAGAAAAAAATTGAAAAAACAGATATTTTTTGTTTTTAATAATTGGGGTGTTTTTTTAGTTGTTCTTGAGTTTGAGTTTTAAAAAATAGGGTTACCAAATAGATTTTCTTTGTTTTGGACTCAAATTCTGTTTTTGAGTTTAAAGTTAAATTCAAGTTGAATACCAAACAGACCCTTAAGATTTTTATTTTATTTTAAAATTTTAAAAAATATAATACAGTTCAAATGTATTTAAAGCAAACCACCACCAATAATAATGTGTTGGTATACAATACAATACAATACAGGGTATTCTTTCCATTTTTGGGAGTATTTTAATCCTTAGCCAAGTAATTGGGATAAAATGTCATGCCAGTGAGGCATTTGATGTAACCCACCTGCTGGCACATTCCATTTGTAGGCCATGCATCATGTGTAAGCCATAGTTACCAACTTACCAACTTACCATACAAGTAAATAGGTCAAAAAATAATCTGTCACTGATTGGGCAAATTTAAACCTAAGCCTACCAAAACATAAAATTCACATGATGCTTCTAATCTACCCCCCGGTAATTTACCATAAATATTTTTGCTGTTATAAATATTAGCTGGATGTACAGAAGTGAAGCACACAAAAATATATATACACTTTCTATATGCGGTGACAGGAAAATAAACCTCAATACACTGAACACTAGACTTATTATGTGCTGCATTGTTGAACATGCTATATCTGGTGTAATGGCAGCTCATCTCATGCCTAAAGTGGAGGAATCTGGGATATCTCTACTAATATCCTGTGCAAAGCCTGTGGCCTTGAGAAGAAAGGTGCATGATCAGAGCCCTTAAGCCGGAAAACTTGTTCCGGGGGGTTTAATTCGATCATGGTCTCCTGTAGAGGAACGCTTATGGCATGATCTTCTTGAGTGACTATGAAGAACCGCCTGACAGAGCCGTAATTCGTGCCGGAAAGAGAGAGCTTCTCTGTCACTGGTGCAAAAGGGATTGGCCTCATGGACACTGATGCTAATGCAACATCCTGGTTTGGAAGGAACATAAATAAAAGCTTCAATATCAACACTGAATAAATTGTGACATTTTTTGAAAGCAGATCACGCCATGCTATAAGCTATATATACCTTTGCAGGACTTTGATTGAACAATAAGTCTTCAGCCAATTTTTTGTCAAGATTAATGGCTGTTGGAGGTTGATCCTTCCCATTGGCATACAAGAAAATCTGAGCCCGTCGCATCAGATCATTCGACCCGGTCTGCATTAACACGATAAACTAGTTCAATTTATGAAGAAGAGGAACACAAAATACTTGAATGCAATTATAATTGTTGTGCTGTTTTCTCTTATCTATTTTTCCCCTACCTGTTGAGCAAACAGATTGAGAGTACTTTGCCCACTAGCTAACATTGCTGCAGAAATGAATATGGCTTTTGCAATTTTTGATGGAAACAACTCCATTACATATGAGATACATGTGCCACCAAAGTCATGTCCAACCAAAATTACCTGCATTTTAGAGGATAAAAAAATAAAATTCCTGGTACATTAAAATTAATCATCTATCATATTCATATCACAGAGTCACAGAGAGAGAGAGAGAGAGAGAGCAGAAACCTTCTTCCCATCCCCAAGTTTCTCAAGGATGTCAGTGAGTGGCTTTACATATTGTGCAAGACTTGTAATGCTGTTGGTATCAAAGGAGTGAACTCCAGAACCTGTCAAGTCAACTGCATCAACTTTGAACCCACTTTCTTCTAAAAGTGTCATGCTTTTATACCAACACCAAGCACCAAAGCCACCTCCATGAACAAGGATGAAATGATTGGTTTCCAGACCATCAGTCTTTACATCCTATAAATGAAATAAAATTATATCAGTGCAAAATTGTAAAAGCAATTGAGCCAAAAAAGAGACTTATTTTGTTTGAAAATATGAAAATATGCAGAGTCAAATTTTGTTGCTTTGTAGTTAAACTATGGCATGTCATATCTTAGGTAAAGATATTTGCAGCGTCCAATGTGGAATTTTGGACGCAAGCTTGGAACTGATCAAACTTATTTAACCAATCCTTAGGAGCTGAAATATTCAACCGTCCAACAAAACCAAACATGATGCCAAAATGTAGTTTACAGCAAATGCAAAACTAGCACAAAACAAAACATGTCATGTAAGGTGCCACATAATGTAGTTTAAATAGTATAACCCAGTTAACGTACGGTTCTGTGCCTAGCTAAGCCGTACTGCAAATTGCTCCAAGAATCAGACCAAAATAAAAATAAAAATTGCTCCAAGAATTGGTCCACGGCGTTGACCAACTCAGTACACTGTTCCTAAAGGTTCATTCACAGAGAGAGAGAGAGAGAGAGAGAGAGAGAGAGAGAGAGAGAGGGGAGACTTTAATTGCTAGTATTCCAATTCCCAGCCTTAAATTTGGATCATATGATTCTTGATATGAGTGTAGATTGCTATAAACAGAGAAAATAATTTACCAGTCATTAGTTTCCCATAATCCTTATATGAATGAGAATGAAATAACTTTGGATGAGGCTAAGTGCATATGCAAACATGTTCAAACCTGCTTATCAACAAGCTCTAGGGGCTGAAAGCTGACAGCATCCGAACGCAAACGTTGCCTAGAGCTGGAGCTTTTTGTAAAGCTCTGATTCTGTTGGCCAGGAGAGGGATAAACCACGGAAGTGGATCGGTTAAGCGGTATCGATGAAGCGTTCTTCTGGTGGTTCTGGAACAGCAGAACAGCCTCTATTGCTTGCTGTTGAAGCAGCAAATCATCCGCAAGCATCTCTTTCTTCTTGCTTGAACCGTTTGATCTTCTAGTGCTAGCAATGGAGGACAAGAAAGGTGAAGATTTGGAGGGCTCTCTGTTGAAGTTGTTGTTGTTGGGTTTCTTGTGTGATGGTGAGAAACATACCAATGAGTTTCCCATTTTCTTGCTTTCAGAAAATGAGAGAGAGCCTCAGAGTCAGAATATGAAGCATTATTAATGTGATGGGGAATGCTAATGTAGTAGATAGAGGAAACACAAAGTTTGACCAAGTTGTTGTTGTTGTAGCTAGTATTAAAAAAACTAGCTACAACAAGTTTAATGTGGAAAACGAGAGAGAGAAGAAAAAGTTACAAGAGGGTTTGTGTTTCAAATATACAAATGGAACATTTGTGTCATTTATTAAGGTCAAAGAAAAGCGCTTTGAAATCAGAGGATTGATTGGAGTTGCGCTAATTCAATTCCCTTGTTAAAAAGCAAAACAGAAGAATTTATTCTTTTTGTTTTCTTCTTCTTCTTTCTAGCCATTTATTTTGACCAAATGGTCAGCTTCCAAAGGTCCCATAGCCAGAGGGGCCAATCACGTTGTTTACTACGATTTGTTAGATTAGGAGCGTTCAGAATGGTTTGTACAAGTTTTATTTTGATACACACCCATATTAGGAAGGAGGAATCAAATCTAGGACTTAGGATGCAACGGTAAATGCTCTTAACTATTTGAGCAACCAACAAGCCCCTTGCATGGTTTGTACAAGTTAGAGGAAGCCCCTTCATATTTGCTGTGGTTTCTCAGATTTCTCAAATCGTGACAGTTGAACGAAGACTTTTCTTTTATTTATTGTTGTTTCCGGGCCTCTGTTTGCTTGACTTTTCAAATTTCTTTGTTTTTGGATTCTTCCAACTCAAGTCAAACTCCCATGTTGGATACTCGAAAGTTCAGACCAAACTCACATGATTGACCCCAAATTCAAAAATCTCTAACACTTACTAAACATATAAGATAACAGAGTTCTATTAAAGAAAAGATGCATAACAAAGGATAAATGTATTGGATTTATCAGTGTACATATTCCTCCTGACTTGGTACAAGGTTATATCATTACCCATCTATATCATCAACAGTTAATTGTATTCTCACTGAAACAATGTAGAAATCCCAAAGAAAATAACCCGCATCCAACTTGGATTTTGTTAGTTTAGATGCCTAGCTGTAACAGCTTGTTTTCTAAACACAAGCAACAGTGCTTCACTTCGTATTGCAATCGTGAAGCCATTACAGGATTTTCTTCTTCCAAATGCTCCTAGTTGTGTATATCAATGGCTGGACACGATTAAAAAGCTTTTCAAAAATCTTCCAGTTCATGCAGGCAACAGATGGACCCTCAAACACATCATCGTCACCAATGTCCATATTTCGAGTAACTCACATCATCAAGTCACTTCTCTCAACATTAAACAGTAACTAGTTATGCCAGCATCAGACATCAAGGTCACCAGTCCTTTAACCACTCTCCTTGTTGCATGTCAGGATCAGGCATCGAAATAGGAGAACGACAGTAGAGCTTTCAAACAAGTTATATGACATTACATCCAAGGTGGAAAGTATCTTGTTCATACCTGCATGTAATATGGTACTTGTAAGAACTTAGGGCTTGTTTGGTAGGGAGGACTAGACTAGACTAGCAAAATGCCTACATTTCATCTGCATTGAAGGCATAATATGGATATGTTGCCTAACTTGGAGGAAGAATGGGGACTATATATAAGAGGTTGAAGACTAAAACTTATCCCACTAATCCACTTGAAAATGTTGGAATTATGAGGGATAAGTTTTAGTCATCAACCTCTTATGAATAGTCCTTCATTCTCCAAGTTAGACAACAAGGTCCATATTATGCCTTGATTGCACATGAAATGTTGGCATTTTGCTAGTCTAGTCTAGTCCTCCCTAACAAACGAGGCCTTAAGGTTATATCCACCTATATCATCTATAGCCAAGACCCATATAGAAGAGAACAAGATTAGAACTGGAGGATTACAGATAATGAATCCAACAATGGCATTCCCAAATAATCCAATAACCATACCTCTCCGCACTACATTCAATTCTGCACAGCATAGAATTGAGGAGCAAGCTCAGTTAACCACAAATAATCGATCCTAGTTGTGTTGCGGATGTATTTACGATTAGTTTCGACTAGTTCATTGAAAATTAGGCACTCTGGTTTGTTCTTGAAAAACACAGAAGACGGGTGGATCGAAACTATCTCACCGTTTGCCAAAGCCCTGTCATTTGGTTAGGTAAATGTGAGAGGTCGAGCATGACAAAGAGAGAATTAAATAATGCACATAAAAAGGGTACAAGTTTTGGAACCTAAAGAAACCAGCCAAAAGAATTTCAAAACATGTCCAGGTAAGATTAAGACCTGTATGATCCCTCAGGCTGCTTTAAAGCTGCATTGAGGAAGAAAGAAGCTGCAAGGCATCTGCAAAACTGAATCACGTCGTCACCACAAGAGGCAACACGAAGACCCAATTGTTCAACATTTCGTCGAATTTGGCTGCAAAAAAACACTTATTAAATTTAGAGAAGCTAATTTATTGGATCTACACCATTAATAGACGCACTGATCTTCCATAAGGGTGGCAAAAAAACCTAGTGCGACTGTGTGAGACCAGCTGAAACATGTCCATAGCTCAACAAGGAATTGAAATAGCCAACCTGTGAATGTCACGAGCATGCCTCAGGGAGCGACTATCAATGAAATTTTCCTTGCACCATTTTCGGAAAGCTTTTTCACGCTTCTCTTTACTAAGACCTGATCTCTTTTCCAAGAACTCATTGGATGCTCTATATACATTAACCAAAGTGAGATGGTCTCCCTCTGAACTTGCAAAGGATTTCTTTGTAGTTCTCGACTGCCAACAGGAAGAAATATATAGCGCTTTTAAGTTAAAGTAATATTGTGAGATCGTAAAAAGAGATATTAGTATAGTTTTATTCGTATTACTAAAGCAACAGGATTAAGACCAAGAGTTCACCATATTGTGAGATCATAATGGAAATGGAGAATGAAAACTCAAGAATGGAATGTTAATCCACCATTGCGTTACACCATTCACCAAATGACCCCCCATAATATCCATGCTTGACTTTTCTACTTCTACTCATTCAATCAAACTGCTTACCATCACCCTTATGCGAAAAAGATATTTTGACAAACAACTCATCAACTCACTTCTATTATACTTTCCATCTACATAACCTATGAGAAATTAACAAGGACAAATATGTAATGAATCATACACAAGTACCTCTTCTTTTTTGTCACGGGGAGTATAAAATATAGATTCTACTGAGAGCATTGCAACAGTTATCAGCATCTCTTCCAGGCAATTGAATTCACTTGCTAGGATTAGAGCTTTTGAATAAATTGGGTCTAAGGGAAGGCAAGCCATTTGGCGTCCAACGGGATTTGATAATTTACAGTCATCTGTTAAAGCACCCAGCAGGAACAATTGCTCTAGTGATTTGACAATAGCCGACCTGCTCAAATGTGTAATAGATTCATGTATGATAAATTTCTTTGATAGATAATAAATCAATATTTATTAGAAGAACTAAACTAACTGCTTGACAAAAATAAATTAAAGCAGCCATTTGCTTTCTCATCATTAAAAAGAAACAAAAGACAAAACCTATCCAAAATCTTACCTTGTAGGCTTTTCTATGAAGTCAAAGCCACTGATATCATCAACACCCAGAGCCTTAAGTTGCAAAATGATATTAGAGAGGTTGCACCGCTTGATCTCTGGCTTTGTTGAATCCTCAAATTTCCCAAATTGATCCTCTTGGTAGAGGCGGAAGCATTTCCCTGGTCCTTCTCGCCCTGCACGCCCACTGCACAATAAAATTATGTATCACAAAAAGTTATCTGTTCTTAAGCATCAGTTCAAGTATCAGGGTCATCAACTAAACGATATGATACTACACTGTTTAAAAGTGTTCACAACAGTGAGCTTCCAAAGAATTCTAACAGTTTGTATAACATAAACGTAAATTGAATAACTTTATTATCCTCTAAAATGATATTTGTATTTAAAGAATTCTTTGGATCCCCCAAAAATGGCCAGCCATGCCTACCTCCTTTGAAGAGCTTGTGCTTTTGAAATTGGAACAACAACCAAAGATTCCAACCCTTTGTTCGGGTCATAGTAACGTGCTTTTACTAACCCAGGATCTATAACGTACTTTATTCCAGATATTGTCACGGATGTCTCAGCAATATTTGTTGCCAATATTACCTAACAGAACAATGTAACACGATTAGATAGAAAGAAAAGAATACATGAATATATATCATAAACCTATTTCCAATAATATGTATTGCTCTACACTTAACAATTTGTTATGCAACAATCACAATACATCTTCATGCTTCCTATTCATATAGGATAAATGTCTAAGCTAATGAACATCATTAAGTTACCTTACGAAATCCATGAGGGGCCGGTGCAAAAACTCGCATTTGCTGTTCTGAAGGAAGAGATGAGAATATAGAAACAGCCACTAGTTTTTTACTGTTTTCTGGTAACTGTTTAAGTCTGTCTTTGACAAGTCTTTCTACAGATTCGATTTCTTCTTGACCCGTCAAGAATACAAGTATATCACCAGGGCCCTCCTCCAGATGAATCTAATAACACATACATACATATATAAGAACATGTATGTTATTTAGGAATCACCATTTAAGGTCTATTTTCTACTTAAAGTGCTCAAAATAGATTCATAAGGTAAACTGAGCATATTCTGTGCATGCCACAAGCTAAAGGGGCTATCATCCATAGCAAAAGCAAATGAACTCTACTCACTCATAGAAACTCAAACAGACTTGCAACTTGCAAGAAAAATTTGCTTGACACAAATACTGACAAAGAGCACTAAATACCTGAAATATGGTGGCTAACGAAGCATCTAGATAATCATTTTCAACATGAAGAGTATAAAATATATCCACAGGAAACTGCCGCCCTTGGATGTGAACAGCTCTTGCACCACCGAAGTACTCAGAGAAGATTCGTGCATCCAAGCTGGCAGACATGATAATTAACTTCAACGGGGTCCGTCCTTGGTATTGCTTGAGAAAATTGAGGCCCTGAGCACCGTTTTCTTTCAATTGTATGTCATTATTTGTTTTCTTGTTTTTAGTATTTTGGAGGTTATTGAGGGATTTTGACCTTGCATCTTGTACACTTTTTAGCAAGCCTAGCAACACATCAGTGTGGACAGTTCTCTCATGAGCTTCATCAACAATTATGACTGAATACCTAGAGAGATGTGGATCCAACAGTGCCTCCCTGAAAGTGCACCAACCATTACATAAGTTCAGACCTGAGAAGAGTGAGACTGAAGGACGTTCGTGAATTATGAAAAAGCTTGATATGCACACATATCAAGTATCAACCACATTAATTTACTCTAGACGGACTCCAAAATGGTTTCACACACCAACCAGAAAGCAAATTTCTTGCTGAGAACTGTCTCCACATATGCCATAATTGATTGTAAAGTATGTTCATGAAGCTTCTAGATGAAAAATGCTAGAGAGCAAACATAACGCCTAACAAAGTTATAAATAGGTTTTACCTCAGTAGCAATCCATCTGTCATGTACTTGATCCTTGTCGAACTAGAGGTCATGTCCTCAAATCTGATGGAGTAACCAACCTTTTCACCCAAATTTACGCCACATTCCTCAGCAACCCGTTTTGCCACAGTCACGGCAGCCACACGCCTAGGTTGAGTTATCCCAATGAGTTTCCCATCCCCGCAAAATCCAGCATTGTACAAAAACTGAGGTAATTCTAGGGAAAAAAAAAATTACCATAGGGAAAACAACATCAAGTTGCAAGCTCAGAACTTCAAAATACTTTGCACAAAATACCTAACATGCTACAAAAATAAAAGGAAAAAGAAAAAAAGAGCATACGTGTTGTTTTTCCGCTTCCAGTTTCACCAACAATAATCAAAGTATCGTGCTTCTGAACCTCCTCAACCAGTCGTTTATCCACTGGTAATTAAACAACACCAATATTACATTCCTAAAATAAACAAAAAACGTAAACAGAACGATTATTTAAAGCAAGTAGTCTCAGTACCAGAAGCGATTGGAAGAGATTTCCTGTGCTGCGCAAGCGTTTGCCTCCTAAAACAAAATCGCACATTTTTAGCATGTCCTGAGTTTCTGAGCAACCAAACAGAAAGTAAGAAGCTAAAAGGTGTTTACTTGGAAAAGGCATCGAGCTTGCGATTACCATCGGACAAGTTTCCTTTCGGGCTTTTGGTAGAGCTGTTCAGCCGTCCTTGACCTTGAGCCATTGAAGCTCAGAGAGAGTTGTGGAAAATCGGTGAAGTTGCAGAAACCGAATAAGAAAAAGAAGAGGGCTGGGGTTTTACTGTACCCGTTAATCTTTTTGGTCGAAGGGTTTTACCGGTTTAGTACCGTGAAGTGTAAAATTTTATGTTAGTGGGCTGGGATGGCCCAATAATAATCAATTTATGGGCTTTTAAATACATTCGAGAATTCCATCCGTACATCCACAGCTGCTAAAAATATTTCTAAAGTTTATTACTCGGAGTCGATAAAATTAAATTAATTTAGAGCATCTATAATGGCTTCCTTAAACTACATCTATAGCTAAAATTTATGGAGGAATTGAAAAAACCCACCTCCAACCATGCTCCCTTTTCAGCTCGTAAAATAGGAAGACCTCTAAGAGCTCCTAAATGTTGAGAAATTATAGAATGATACGGTATCACCACGTCAGCTAGTGATACTTCCACTTAAATATTGACATATGTATTTTTTTAAAAGAAAATTTAAATGTTTTTCCAGCTAGACATTAGGTCTCAATTTTACCCTTTAGAATTAAAATAAAAGATTTTAAAAAGATTGTGCCACATCCACCTTTATCCAATTCAGTCTCCCTCCGTCGTGCCCTACCCTCCCACCTCTATCCACTTCGCAATCCCACTCCACCTCTCCCTCCCTTTCTGCTTGTATTCCACCCCCCTTCCTTCCCAAATCCTTCAGTCTCCTCATCTAGGTTGCCATCATCTCTCTCAAAACCTCCATATCCAAGTTCTCTTTATCCAATTTTGAGAATATCCGAGAAACACATATCCAGAGGGATCTGTAAAGAAAACTTAACTAAGAAACCCTTAGAAATTCTTGATATGCAGAGATAAGGTTGGGCCCCATGGAATGTGATGATAAAAGCAAACTATTAAATAAATTGATTCTCAGAGAGAGAGAGAGAGAGAGAGAGAGAGAGAGATGGAGGGAGAGAAACTTAGATGAAGGAAGAGATGGGGAAAGGGCGGCAGAAAGGGGTAGACTCAATGCAAACCTTGGCGGCAGTCGTCATCGTCTTGTTTTTTTTCTTCTTAAAATTTTGTTCTAAAGGGTAAAATTGAGACCCAAATGTCTAGCTGGAAAAATATTTATATTTTATATTTTTTAAAAACACATGGCAATATTTGAGTGGAAGTATTATCAACTGATGTGGTGATACCGTACTATTCTATAATTTCTCTTTAGGAGAGAGAAATGGCTCCTAGTAACCCCCTATAATTAAATGTTTCTTTATTTAATATTATTTTAAGCATTTATTTAAAGTCAACTATTTTTTATTGTTGTTTTTGTGTCTACACTTTATTCAAAAATTGAATTAAAAAACATTAAAAACATTTATAACTCTTTAAACTAGAGAGTATGTTGGAGTTAAAATTTTATAGAGAACTCCGCTTTATAGTATTTTTAGTTAAATTTTAACTAAAAAATAGAAACCATGATTGTGGATGCTCTTAGACGATAGGTTGCATTGAAAAAAATGATATGGTCCTAAACAGCTAAGGTATGGAGAACATATCGTCCCAAAAGTACTATTTTCATCACGAAATATTTATTTCACAGACAATGCTATGAAACAAATTATGAAGATTCATTTGAAAAGATTATTTGGTCGTTCTCATTGACCTTTTATCTCACCCAAAAATTGTCTTTCAGAAATTGGGCTTCTCTAAAAAGGATCCTGTCAGTCGGGAATAATTATAATTAAACACCAAAACCTTTTTTCATAACAGATTGGCAATCATCGAACATTGATATTGCAAGGTACATATAGAATTACAAAATAAACCTAACTCACCTAAATATATATATATATATAATATTCAGTTCATCAGAGCCTTCTTTTTGGGGTAGGAAACAAATGGAGACAATATTCTCAAAAGCTAAGAAAACTAAAGCTGAGGACAGCAGTACCAAATAACCAATGATGTACATAGCAGTTAATTAAACCTAACTCTTTCAGGTAGTAGCTACTGGCTAGTATATGCTGGGCTGGGTTTGTTTTGCATTTGCGCATAAGAAGTCCTTCTGCACTTGTCATGTTCTGCACTTGATTCTAATGAGTACTAAATGCCAAATATGAATCCACGTCGGCTTTGGTTAATGCCGGCTTTAAAGAATCTTTTGCAGTCTGGAAATGGCGATGGCACACAACTGTGGCAGATATGTCTTCCCTCAGAGCCACTATTCCAGCTTCCCTACATAGACCCTCCAGCTCGGCTCCTGTGAATAGCTCAGTATCTTTTGCTATTTGTTTGAGATCAACATCATCTCCTACGCTCATGTTACGAGTATGTACCTGAAGTATCTCATATCGACCTTCTAAATCTGGTGGTTGTACAAAGAGCGCCTAGAATTTCCAAAACATAACAGAGTTAACTTATCTCTTTGACACCATGCCAAATTTTGTTTTCTAGAATTTTGTCTCTCACCTCGACAACCAGACCATGAGAAAGGACCCCAACCACAACAAGAACGAAAAGAAAAAAATTGGAAAAAATTAAGTGACACATAACATGGCATAGTCACATGATAGAACAAACTTCTTACCAAATCAAAGCGTCCTGGGCGAACTAATGCAACATCAATCGCATGAGGACGATTCGTAGCAGCCAAAACAAAGACTCCCTGAAAACCAAAGGAGAGTACAATTTAAAGCCACAGGAAATGAGAACTAATGCAGCATGGATACGTATAACAAATTGATTTTAAAATTATTGCAGAAGTAAAAGAATTTAAAGGGATATAGTGCTTACCTTGGCCTCTTCTAAACCATCCATTTCAGTCAGCAAAGTAGATAGAAGCCTTTCTCCAACGGTACTGCTGTTGCTTGAACTCCCACCTCTGCCGATTTAAGTTAAACAAAAAAGTTATGAGTAAAATTAGATTAAGTGTACTTGTTCCAATACACAAAATAACAAATCATCAATGTGCAGATTAATCCTAAAACTGCAACATACTAAGTTACTAACCTTTTGGCACCAACAACATCCGCCTCATCAAAGAGTATTATGCTGGGTGCTGCAAGGCGAGCTCTCCGAAAGGTATTGCGCAGCAAAGCTTCACCCTCTCCAACATACATTGAAAACAATTCTGCACCACTGATTCAAAGTTTATGAATTCAGGCATGCAACTCTTCTACTTTGTCGAATAGACTAATTATAATTTTAAAAGTTTCAATGGCCTATAAGGTGAGTAGCTTCTTTCTAAATAAGTAGATCAAACTTTTCAATCTAAGAAAGAAGTTCAAACCTCAAAGAAAAAAAAGAAGCTTGGGCAGCATGTGCAGCAGCTTTAGCAAGGGTGGTTTTTGAACATCCTGGAGGACCGTAGAGAAGAATTCCACGCATGGGTGATATTCCCAGCCTTGTAAACGCTGAAGGATGTTTAATAGGCCACTCAACGGCTTGCTGGAGCTTTTTCTGTCAATGAGAAGGTGAGGTATAATTAGTATTGTGAGAGTTCAGACTAAGATAAACACAAAACTTTATGCACCTTCAAATCTTTTAATCCTCCTATATCTTCCCAAGTCACTTTGGGGATTTCCACCGTAACACCTCTTGTTACACTTGGGCTAACCACAGACCTTGCATGCTTCCAGTCTTCTGTTGTCAAGCTAAACACACCAGCATCTTTATTTGCACCTAAGTTTCTTTTAATTGCAGGCATAGCAGCCTCACGACATAAAGCTTCCAGGTCAGCCCCAACAAATCCATTGCAAGATGCAGCTATGGCTTGGAGGTCAACGTTGGAATCCAAATGAAGCTTTCTTGTGTAGAGCTGAGCAATCATAAGCATAGTTATAAGTGTATCTTACACTCATATTTCTTGAATTTCTATTAAACTACCTGAACAACAACTGGATGTTTAAAAGGAATAATGTGTGGCAATTTGAGCAATATGATAAGTTGATCAACGTTACAAAAAAAAAAAAAAAAAAAAAAAAAAGTAATCCAGAATTCTCACTTAAAAAAATATTTTAAGCATCACTATCACCTTGAGAATTTGAATGCGTTCTTCTTCAGTAGGTGGAGTAACTTCAATTTCAACATCAAAACGCCCAAATCTTCTTAGTGCTGGATCGATTGCTTCAGCTCTTTGTATGCAACAAATATTAATATGGAATTATATACAAGAACTAAATGAATGGTCTTAAGTAACAAAACCTACATATGTGCCAAATAGAATATTAATAACAATGAGAAAGCCATGAGCTCTTCTGCAAATGAGCTAACTGGCAATGAGATGAACATAATGCATAAAACTTTACGAGGACAGAGTATCAGAAAGTTCAAAACCATGACCAAAATAACAGATCATAGCACTCATCAAACAATTGAATTTTGTAGAAATGCCTACACATTATCAACTGGTTAATAACCAGATAAAATCACATCATAAATTCTAGGAGATGAAAAAAAAATTACCTGTTAGTGGATGCAACAACAACAACTTGTGGTATGGATGCCGAGGACATCTTGTAGTCCATCAGCGTAAGGAGTTGAGAAGCTATGCGAACATCTTGCTCTCTTCTGCAATTGAAACATAACTTAAACATATTAACTGGGGAATGCCCAAAGATTGGAGAAAATAGCCAGCATAAACTAGCAGCTTTTTTTTTTTTTGGGTGTAAATTTATAAAGTTAAAAGATCAGATTTTTAAGGCAGGATACATTAGAGTTCTCTGTAGCATCATTGGTTTTTACCTAGAATCACGGCGAGGACAGAGTGCATCTATTTCATCTATAAAGATAACTGATGGCTTGCCCGACGATTTATGCAATGAAGCCTGCGAGAAAGCCTCCCGTAAAAATTTCTCACTTTCTCCAGCATGTGCTTTGTGAACAGAATGTGGACTGTACAGAAAATACCATAAAAACAAGACAGAGCTTAATAAAAGAAATCAAAACCATGAGAACATAATATGATCAAAACTTATCCAAGTAAAGAGCAACACTGTAAAAGACATCATTTCATTTGAACCCAAAGATCAATACAGAGATTAAAGAATAACAGGGTACCTGATCTCAATTAAATGTGCACCACATTCCTTAACCACTGCTCGTACCAAGCTTGT